CCCAACCGGAGCCTGAGGGCGGCCGCGCGGTGCCTCCAGAAGAGGAACCGGGCCCCGTCCTGCCCCGACGGCTCCTCACGGGAGCGGAACCAGCCCCGAGAGCGACCCGGGGGCCCCGCGGCCGGGCTTTGTCTGCGCAGCGGGGCGGATCGGATCGGGGTGTGTGTGTGTGGGGGGGGGGGGGCTCCGCGCACAGCCCGGGGGGCGCCCGCTGCCCCTCGCTGCCGGGCCGCCCTCCCTCACCTGCCAGCAGCTCCTGCAGGCTCTGGCTGAAGGTCTGCAGCTGCCGCTCGTTCATCAGCCCCTTGGTCCGCAGGAACTTGGAGATGAAGCCCACGGCCGCGGCGATCTCGCGTATCATGCTGGCCCGGGTGTACAGGGCGGGATGCATGGAGGCGGCGGCCGGCGGGGGCGCTCGGTCGGGTCGGGTCGGGTCTGGTCGGGTCGGGACGGGACGGGTCTGGTCGGGTCGGGCCGGGCTCGGCTCTAACTGGGCGAGGCGCGGGCGGCGGCGCCCAGCTCACATGGCGGGGGCGGCAGCCTCCGCCTCCTCCTCCTGCGGCACGGCGGCAGCGGCGGCGGCGGCCGCGGCAGCGCTGCCCGCATCTCCTGCGGCGCGGGGCGAAGGGAGCCGCCCGCCGCGCGCCGCCTCTTATAGCCGCCCGCGGTAGGAAGTGGCGTCGGGGAACCGGGGGCGCGCCGCCGCCAATGGGGCGATCGCACCATTGTGACGGAGCCGGGCGCAGGGAGGGGGCAGAGCGGGGAGGGGAGGGGAAGGAGGGGAAGGAGGGGAGGGAGGGGAAGGGGGGGTGGGGGTGACGTAATCGGTTGTAAACAAATAGAGCGGGGGCGCGCGGCGCGCGGGGGCGCGCAGGGCACGGCGCCGCGCTGTATCCGGGGAGAGCAGCGACACGTCAGCCGCGCGGCCCGCGGGAGCGCGCCCCGCCGCGGCACCGGGCGGGCTGCTGCCGGAGAAGGGTGGGAGAAGGGAGAGGGGAGAGCACCCCCGCGAGTGCAACGCCAAAGGGGGGATGAGAACAGCAACGTGTTCTGTGGAGAGCTCCAAGTGCGGCTTTTTTTTTTATTTTTTTCTTTTTAAGGTGGAAAATTCGCTCTTCCCCTCGGTTATTGCACACCCTGCTCCTACGCGAAGCTGCAAATGCAACGCAGCCTGGTGTTTTGGTGTTTACATGTTCGCTGCTTCCAGCCGGAGAGCAGAAGCACAACCACTGGAGGCACGTTTAAAAAAAAAAAAAAGTCTTTTTATTTTTTTTTTCAGCAAAAATAAATTAATAATGAACTACATAAAAATAAATCAGTGAAATAATTTGAATAAAAGGTGAAAATACAGCACTTGGGGTGGTGTGATGTTGGAGGTGTACCTGAACAGCGCTTCCAGCCTGCTCTCCGCGCTCAGGAGCGATTCTGTCCCAGGCGCTCAGCCTCAAGGGGCTCTGGCTCTCTAAGCACAAGGGGGATCTGCAAAATACCTTCAAAAGATAATCTTGGGAGCTTAAGTCCACAGCTTTACTGCATACTAAAAACCTTGGTGTAGTTTCAGAGCACGGTCTCATCTATTGTTCCGCCACCAACCTCTGAGTATATCTCGTTAGCGATCACAGGCTGTCCTGTCCTGTGAGAAGGGAGGAGCTGGCAGGCTGACCCCTTTTCTTGCTGCTCCACAGGTATCAGCCATCCCTTCTTCCCCAGTGCTTCCCCAGCATGTGTAAGAAACAGCCAGAGCAGCCATTTCTGATCAGGTTGGCATTTGCTGTTTCCTTTCAGACCTCAAAGCAGCAGATGACTCTCTTTTACAACCAGGTCAGTCAACCTACAGGAAAATCCCACTTCTCTCATACAAAATTGACCTTACTGACAGAGCTTCTCAGTTACAACAAAACAACTACTGGAAATAGTTTAACAACAAAATAATAATAATAATAATAATGAGTGTAACATGCATGTGGCACTTGCCACCTCTGCTTGGATCCAAGCTTTATCTGGGCCAGTTTCTCAGCTCCCCTCCTTAGTGCCAACCAGCATCAAACACTCAGAAGGAGTTTTAGGAACTCCAAAGTAGATAAGTGGTCTTATGTAGGAGCACCCTAAAACAGGTTTAACAAGCTCTCCTCAGCTTGCCACAGCTGTTATGGAGAGCAGGACTGTTCAGATCAGATTTGAATCATCATACTTGAATTTTACATGAAGAAAATGGCAGCATGCACCTTGTCCCACACTCTGTGAGAGAGGGAGAAATTTCATTTTTTTTTTCATTTTTATTTTAAACTTTATCAAAGGTCTTCCCTCAAATGTCCTGCAATTCAATAAATTCAGACCATTTTGCCGATCAAGAAGTTCTGATAGTTTTGATTGCTTCTAAACCATTACAGCACCTATAAGGAGGGTCTTGTCTGTGGAAAGGATAAATGACTGTGCACATAGATCCAGTCTGCCAGTGAGGAGTGAACTCCCTTGGTGTTCTTACTGCAAAGCAGCAAGCAGTTCAAATGTAACTTTGAGGCTAAGGCTCGGTGAGATACCTGCCAGCAGGACCTCGTCTCTGGCCGTGGGAGGGAGCAAGGCAGAAGGAGCTTCTGATGCAGAGAACTGTCTTGTTTTCCCAGTCTGGCCACGTCCGCCTCCATCTCAGTGCTGCAGGGGGATAGGTAAGGAGCTGCTGCCACTTCCTGACTGTGAAACACTACAGAGAGCCTCATCTTTAACGTGTGCAGGCTCTTAGTGATGATGAAGTGTTTGGCAGACAGCTCACAGGATCAGGGAAAGTTGACTTTCCTTGATAGGACCTCACTGGAGAATGCCAGAGAAGCCAGTTATACCTTAGGATGGCTGCTGGTTTGTACCTTAGCTTTCTGCCAGAATGCCAATGTGTTTAAGTGATCTACTATTTTGCTCTGAGATTCTTTGGCACCTTTGCATTTTGGAGAAGACAAAGTGCTTCTTCTTTTCTCTGGCCAGGTCTCAGCTGTGCACCCCTGTCCTGGCAACTCCAGGCACAGAGGAGAAAGCTTGCCTGGTCAATAGTGCAAGATACCCACTGATACCTTGACAGCAGGGTGCTGAAGAGGAGAAATGTAAACATTTAACAACTGCCTTATTCAGCCCATCTGATACTTTAAATGAAGCAGAGGCCCTAGGGAGAGAAAATAAAGAAAAGAGTTTGTGATCATGTAATTAAAGACTGTATCATAATGAATATGCACAGAAGGGTTGAATTAAGGTTGTACTGGCAACCCAGCTTCTGATATTTCCTAACTTTTAAGCAATACAATGCAACCTTTACAACATTTCTTTCATGTTGTTTTGGCAGGCACTGTTTCTCACTATTGGTTTGGAGAGAGCCTAGCGCTTTGTGAGTTCTGTCATCATGGAAACAAGTAATAGAAATACAACTACTTTTATCTGTGCCACACACACACATACACACCCTGTAACTATTGCAACACACTCTTTTCCCAGCTTTTCTGAAGGAGGCTACTGCATGTTCTTCATGGTAAGTGGGAAGATTCAAGAGTTCAAAGGAGAAGAATGAGAAATGTTTGATTTTTTTAATTTGTTCTGGTCCTAGAGTCTGAATTAATATATACGTGTTTATGAAAATAAATGCACTGCATGTGCAGCATGGATTTTTTTTTCCCATTTGAGAAAATATTCCTGACAGAATAAGGAAACACAGGAAAGTGTGAGGATGCTATAGGATTTTTTTTTTTTGTGATATTTTCTTGAAGTCTTTCAGCATAGAAAAGAATTAGGTCTGTTCTCTTCCCACTCCACTGTGTTTCTAGCTATGATTTTACAGGGTTTAGCGTTGACCTAATAAAGAAGTAACAGCTGAAAAAAAAAAATGTTGTCTCCAAAAAGCTGTATATGTGCCTTAGCTTGACATAAACTTTCTCTCACCTGTTAGCTGAAGAGTACTGTTTGCAGTACTTATGATATATCATTAATCCATTCTTTTATAGAGTTTATTTTTATTGTAGGTTGATGTTATAAAACACCACATTATTTTTGTCATATAGCAAGCATTTGAAAGCTTATAGCAAAACATTGCCTCCTTGTTTTTTGTTTCTGCAGAGAAAAGCTCACCACGGGTTGCATAAAACATTTATTAATGTTTTAGCTCTCTCTAGCCTTTGCTCTGGATACCCAGTCACAGTAATAGAGACATTGAGCTGCTGTTCTAGGAGGCAGCTGAAACCCGGGGTGTCTGTGTGCAGCCCTCTGTGTCCACACTGCTCCCCATAGCTGGGCTGTGAGTTCCCACCTTGTTCTGCAAAGTTTCCAAAGAGACATCTCAGAAAGTCTTTCTCGGAAAGACTTTGGTCACAAGGCTTGTGTTAAAAAGAAGACAGAAACATTTGGGCCACCTCACTGCTGAGTTCACTGGTACTTAGCTTCCTGTCAAGGGCTATGTTGGGCCTAGGCTGTTTTTGTTGTTTGCTTGTTTTGTTTTGTTTTGTTTGTTTGATTGTTTTTTGTTTTGTTTTGGTTTGTTTGTTGTTTTGTTTTTTTTTTTTTTCCTTGAAACCAGGCTGCTCTTCATCTTGTGTTGCCATAAGACATGTCTGGATTAGAGCTTGGGCTCAGGCTCAGAAATATTTTATCAGTGGAGACTGCTATGAGGAGCCACTGTGCAGCCGGGAAGGGGACAGGACTCCTCGGCTCTGGTTGCAGGCCTTTCTCTCAACCCAGCCTTACGACATTGAAAGTAACCACAGCGCTGTACTAATGAGTGTTTTATCCTGAAAATGTCTGGGGGTGAAGAAGCCTGTCAGTTGTTCTTCCAGAATGGAGATGTTGTGCTATTGAAAGCTTAAGCTAGACTGGTATGAGTCAGAGAAAGGGCAAAGGTCTTCCCTGTGACCACATGGGGAATCCCCTTTTCCTTCCAACATGCTCACATGCGACACACACACAACTCTATGTTTCTAGGCTGGTTTATCAGGCACCAAATCCCTCAAGACATTTTTCCCACAAAGCAGTCCCATATTTCAGCTAGTGGGCTGAGTCGGCTGAGCCAGAGTCCTGTTCTGCACTGCAGCGATCACCCAACAAGCACCTCCACCACTGCAGGGAGACTGAGAGTGATGGAAAGACCTGGAGATGCAGGGGGAAGCAGTCAGTGTTGGTTGTAATTATTGCACATTCTGCAAAACTAATGGCAAGAAAACCAACTTGTGGTGTCTGAAAATGACATACTGCTGCATGTATTCTATACAGAAAAAAAAAAAGCTTGCTTTATTGGAGATAAAGTCTGATTTTAAAAGGTACTGCTCACAGATTAAATATTCCTTGTGGTGTGAGCCTTAAGTCGCAGAAACCAGAATCCAGCAAGGACAGGTTCAGGAGAAGTGTTTTCCAATTCTATTCCTTTGATTTCAGCAAACAACATGTGATAGCATGTACATGTAGGAGATAAAAAGCAAAATCAGAAAATAGTAGTATTCTGTTTGTGTTGTAAAGGTGATTTTTTTTTCCACATGGGATAATAGGTGTGGCAGCAAATGTGGTGCTTGTTTTTAGTAAAGCAATCATTGTTTGGATCCAATAACAATAAAAAAAAAATTAAGACAATAGAAGCAGATTATTTGAAAGCTTGTCAATAGAGAGCTCCTCACAAACCAGAGTTATACATAACCATTATTACACATCCATTTTTTCATTTGTATGCACTTATGAATAAAACAGGAGAGACTAATATAGATGAGATAAACAGTCAGAGATTGCAGTCCTGCATGGGAAAGTTATTAACAATAATACTAAGCGAAAGGAGCTTTTAAGAGAATGATTTAACCATTTGTTGCTGTGCTCTGCAATCAAATGATGTCATCTCAAACTCCAGGTTTTTGCCTCTTTTATAGCTTTTCATGTAGCAGCTGGGATGGGAGCCGAAGTAAATAGCTTTATAATTCGCTGGTTCCCAGAGCTTTCTCTTCTGTCCTGCAGTATTGCCTCAGGAAGGCCTGAAATTATCCCAGAATCTCCATGGCTGTAGTGGCTGTGTATGGGCTTCTGTACTGTTGACTGCCCAAACTGGCTGTGCCAGTCAGCAAGGGGTTTTCACCCCCCTGGGGTCAGGCAGAGGGAGATCAACAGGGACAGCCTGCTGGGAGAAGGATATCACAGACATGAAATCATCAGCAGGGACACAATATTACAGCTGGATGAAGCTTATCAGCTACTGTGGTAAAAGCAGCAAAAATCATTATGGATTATAACATGATGTTCTCCATAATAGTTGCCAATAGAATAGGCATCTAAACATCTGATCCATAGAAACACATCTCTGCATATTTTTTAAAAAGGTATCAATTCCAGGATGGAGCTCCATGCTGTGAAGGGTCCACCAGCCTTGCTATGTTAGTCAAATAACATGGATTTGAATGATAGTTTTGTAACAGTATTTCCAGTACCTTAGAATTAAAACTAAGATTGTCTGCAGATTTCAATCATAAGCTTCATTAAGATAGTTAAAGATATTAAGAAAACAATATGTTGGTCCTGCTACTGTATTCATATTTCCTTAGTATTTGCGGCTTGTGTACTTCACTTAATGATGTAGTAAAAAAAATAGACAGATTTTTAAAAATCCTCAAAGATATCCAGAAAAATAATCTTTCATTCACTTATGTCACAAAAATTGCTTGAGCAGCTTTATTTATGTTTGTGATTTGGAAACCAGATAGATTTCCAAATGGATGGCTCATTTGGACCAGATTTGATGTACAAACCTTCAGCCAATCTGCCTCTCTCAAAGATACCTCAGAATGGCAAAATATGGAAACCTTGTGATGGCAACAGTGGAGATTTTAGGCCAGGCCTGCACAGACCACAAAGGACATTACCCCCTATTCACTTTATAGACAGAAGAACCAGTAAATCAGTGACTGTAATATACAGATAGACATACACCTCTATCTCACAAACCCATAGCATTTTCTGACACAAGCTAGGTAGGAAGTAAAGAGTAAAATGTGAGAGGAGATAAATGTAGCCATATTTTTTCTTCTGCCAAAGCTAGACATGATTTTTTTGTTTTGATTGTAAATAGGGTGCTCCTGAAAGTGTTTCATTCAGTGCAGGATTTGGCTATAGAGGACAAATGATTTCAGATTAGTCAGTTTTGTATTCTTTCATTGTGGTCTGTCATATCTAAATCCTGCATATCAATGCAATGAATACACTGCTGTAAAAACAGACACTTATCAATTTTTTTCATTTTTCCTAGCCAACACTTACCGCAACTTATTCTCTCTCTCATTATCATTTGTAGTCATGGCAGTGCTCTTGTTACAGCTTTTTCTTTTCTTTGCAGTGATATTAACTCAGGCATTTTAATCAGTCTCAGACAGAAATTTAGCCTGTGAATTCTCAGGGAAAAATTAATATAATTAGTTCTCTTGGACAGATTTGGCAGTCTGAGAGAACATCACATTGAGAGTTTGCATTTTACCTTGCTTTCAGTACTAATAGATCTTCTGGATATGAGCAGATGAAAAAAAAAATATTTATTAAAAAAGTCACAGATAACCTCCTCTTATTTAGTTGTGTAACTGTATCTGCATTGTATTCAAATGTATTTATGTATGAAGACCTAAAACACGCTTGTGTGAAAATGTAGTCATTCTTGCCTTTAAATTGATTGTATTATATGTTGCATGCCTAAAATTGTTTGCCCAGTCCCCATGCAACACTCTCCACAGAAGCAGTGAACAAACCTTCTTGGCTTAGGAAACCTTACTTTCCTAAAAGCACTTCTGTGACTAAACTGCCTGACTTTGATGAATTTATCCATATAATTGCAAATGAACAGGATCAGGATTTTAGGACTCAGGACTTTGCATCTCAGAGCTCACATTGCATGCTTTTTCTCCTTTCTGAGAGATGTGCTATAAAATGAGGAGCCTTTTTTGTCCTGTATTACCTATAAATTGCCAATTCCTTGGGGAAAAAAAAAAAAAAAAAAAGGATTTATAATGTTAAAATTTTTATAAACATCTAACTGACTTAATATAAGCATCTTCTCAAAACATGCTTCATAACACTAGAGAAGAGGGCAGAAGGTCTAAAATACAAGCACAAGCAGTAGTTTACTTTTAACTAATTGAAAATAAAATGTTTTTTTACCTCTATTGTTAAAAAATAATAAAAATAATAATAAAAAAGAAAATTAAAACAAAAATTTTGACAGCAGAGCAGAGCAAAAACATACACCTCAACAAAATCAGGCCATTAGTTCTGATTTAGATTAACCAGATGTCTCAAACAGTCTTGTGATCCAAAAAAAAAAAAAAAGAGGGAGGGGGAAAGAAAAGCACAGCTTTTTAATTAAAAAAAAAAAAAAAGTGCATAGTATTTTTGTCGTCTTTTCCTCTCCTGCTTCCACCATCACCTTCAACAGTGACCATTTCCCCGCCACCCCACCCTCCCTCCGTGTTTGTCTCTGATGTATTTCCAGAGACAGAGGAACAAAAAGCTGCTTGATACCCCTCTTACAATAGAAAGGAGATGCGACTGGCTGTGTGGGAGGAGCCGCTCAATTCTTCCATGTAGTGCTGGTACACATGCTTCGAGCGGCATTAAGTGTTCCTCAGAGCAGGGAACAGAGTGTTCCAGCAGGATCTAACACAGGCAAAGATAGAAAGCCATTTTCTTCACAACTACGCAATGCATTAATACAAGAGCCTGAGCTTGCAGGGGATGAACCTACTGTTTCAGTACTTTTTCCTTTCTTTTATTTTCTGCATCTTAATTTAATTTTGAATTATTTAAGCAGATTTCTTGATTATTTTATATATATATATATATATAAATTTAGTGCTTCATGGGAGCCTGACTTACAAATAATTACATGAGAGATACAACAGTTGCATAAGCATCCTTTAAAGTTTTGCATAAAATGTCTTGGCAGCAACAATTGCTTCACCTTGGGTTTTTCTGTCCAATCATTCAGCTAGGAGCCAGTGGAGAGGGAACAAGTGGAAATTCATATGAGATAATGAGAGAAGAGAGACATAAAGCCATGCCCATCTACATGGAACACGAACACCATATGTTCCTTGGTGCACAATGCCATAAGCAGGTGGAGCCCCACCAGCTGTCTCAGCCCCACTCATGCCACGTAATTGCAGCCAGCTCAGGGCCCGAAACTGTGCTGCTTCATACCAAGAAAACAACATGTGCAAGGCCAAGACAGGGAATGTCTGCAGCACATTCCTGTCCTCCGCATAGACATGCCTTCATTGTTTCCACTCAGTTTTGTTACCCTGGAGCTGTAGGGTATTTCCTGCAGAGTCATCTCCTCCCACCAGAGCAGAGGTTCAGTCTCATATGGTATATATACATATGTAGGCAGTAGGACCATACCAGAGCTGGTGCTGCCAGCACCCAAACACTTCTGTTGTACACCAAATATCAAAACAAACAAACAAAAACAATAACATAAAATTCCAGGAGAATTGTTCAAAACTACCTTCAAGTGCGGGTACATACCCCCTAGATTTTCTATATACATATCACATTATAAATAAATGCTCAGGGGTAAAGGATGTCCAGGAGTGATCATAAGATAAATAAGTAAGGATGTCCAGGAATGATCATAAGAAAGCTCCTTCTGTTGCTGTAGTCCTAGAGGAAATGATCTGGCTGTAAGTCATGCAACTTCCTAATTTGTATCAAAGGCAAAGCCATTAGTTTATATAAAGATGGCTTAGTAATAACTGATATTTCCTGAAGACTGGTCATCTTTTTCTTTCAAAGATGGTGGAATACACAGTAAGAAATAGTGATTGAAAACTGTATTTTTAATGTACATTTTAAATTGTTAGACTACTGCAGAAATTTGAACACAAAACAATCTTAAAATGATAAACCAAACCTTACTTTTCTGCTTTATTTGTGTGACCTCAATGTTACAGCCAATGACTAAAAGTATAGCAAGGATGAACTTCAATTGATCAAGATTGTAGAGTAATTACAACCCTCAGACTAACACAACAGCTATAAGGGCTCAGTATCTGAGAGCTTTGATGGTGTGAAGAATCCCATGTCCTTGGGGTGCAGATTGGAATTTCGCCTGCAGCCAGCTCATGGTTTGTTTGATACACTGTGAATTCAACAACTGTGGATTTCATTTCATTTCATTCTGAATCTAATAATCTCAAATCACTTTGACCACGTTTGTAAATGCCAGAAACATGCTATACCTTTGCCACTCCAGCTCTAGAGAAGTTACACTGGCGACAGATATGCTGATGCCATCAGTGGAGGTTTTGGAACAAAAACAATAGCAGTTTTACTATTCCTGGTAAAAGTAAACACCCTTCTCTATGAAGATGAAGAAATAAAAGATTACCTATAGCAAATATATTTATGGATGGTCACACAAAAATTCATTAGTGTTGTTCATTAGCTCCAAAAATTGGAGAAAAAGCAGATATTTAATCTGTCTGGAGGAAAATTTTGTGTGGACTCCTTTTTGAAGCAAACTAAACAAAGGCAGAGGAATACTTTTGTTTTGTAACTGGCATGAGTCTTCTCCAAGTATTTTTATGGTTATCATTTTTAACCTCCTCATGGTTTATGTATCAATTGCACCAGCTCCTTGAAAAGGTGATGATGCCTTCACGTTCTTGAAGCATAAGGTCAACTCCATACTGTGCACTAATGTGAACCATTCACTTGTGTATACACTTCCCAAATTCATCAGGCTTTCTTCTGATACCAGAAGAGTTTTGCCATGGAGTTCTGTAGAAACAGGATAAGATTTTACATTTTTCACTGTGGTGAATGGTTTAGTAGCCTTTCCTTTATAAACTTTAAAGCCAATTTTATTTTCCTTCATGTGACTTCTGACTTGTTGACTGATATTCACAGTTGTTGTTTTTCTCGGTTTTAACTGACAAAGCTTTAAAACATTGGGAAGTAGATGAATTCCTTCTTGCCAGTAGAAGAGTATGAGGTCAGGCATTACAGAGAGACAGAGTCCAGAGGATAGTCTGCAGGAACTGAATCTTATCAGTAGCCCTCTAGCATGCATCTCTATAAGAAATCGTAGGACTGGAAAACTTTGGTCACCCCATATGCATGACAAATGGGTTTTGAAGTTATCAAAATTATTACATTACTGAAGCATTTTTTCAAAGGGAGTTAGGTATAAAGGCCACAAAAATATATTATTGTAAGAGCAATTATGTTTATTTCCATGATGGTTGAATGGACTTTGCCACTTGTCACAAACAGCAGTGAATATTATTCCTTTACTAATTCAAATTAATTCAAATTAGCTGAATCCCTCTACCAGTATGAAAAGAACTAACACTTTTTTTTTTTTTTTTTTTTTTTTTTTTTTTTTTTAAATCGATGGCAAAATAGCTAAAGATTTGAGCAGCATATTTGGTTATAAAAACCAAAAAGTGTTAACATTTAAAAACAGGTGGATTACCACATGGATTATAGCACTGATAAAAAACACTACAACCAACTCTTTCTGTAAGAAGTGATTTAGGTACAAACGGAGAATTTGATAGTAAGAATTGAAGAATTTTGAAAATGCTTTGAGTTAACAGACTTTAAGGTTTACTATTCAATTGGGAACATTCCATTTACACAAGTCCTACTCTGCAAGTGAAATAAATCCATTTCTACCTTAAGTTTCATATGCATAGGTAGTGTTTTGAAGAGAATTAAGGACATCCCTTAGGAAAAATAAAATAAAATAAAAAAGATTAAATTGTAAATGCTCTTCATCTTACAAGGACGCAGAACAGGAAGCAAAGATAATGTATACCTGAAAGTAGTGGAGCATTTCACATTTATTTGGGTATATCATTCATATACATTCCAGAGCTCATGAAAAATGAGTAGTTGTTTTTATCTCTACTTAGCATAACCTTTTTTGAAAAAGAAAGTCAGCTAATGATTTTTGCCTTATTTGTTTGCAGTGTGGAATGGCTAGTATTCCCACAGAGGTAAATAGAAATTGAAAAACAAACAAAGAAAAAAAAACAACAACAAAAAAAAACAGACACTAGGGGATTTTAAAAGATGTGTTGGCCTAGACAATAAAGAAGTAAAGAATAGCTCAATTTTTTGAGTGATTGAAACATTTGCTCTGGCCTAACTAATTCCGTCCCCCCCCCCCCCCCCCCCCCGTACACTCTCATCAAAATAGAGGCTTTTTTAAAGCATAACCTCAAAAGTTCGAAATGGCTGGTAAGAGCAGCTCTCCCAAGCTATGGCCAAGCCTATGCCGTGGACCAAGGGAAGCAAATTTCCAGAGTGAACATTTGGTGCTGAGGACCTAACAACCACACTATACAGTTTCTGGGGGTTCCTTTCAGGTCATTTCTAGTCTGGTCCCATGGGCTATATGTGTATTAGTGTCTGGAGAGCTCCAGGGTGTGCTTCTGGGTCACTTCTCCCAGTTCAGCTGTAGCCAGTAGCAATCCAGTTCAAGCACTCAGGACCACACTGTGATGGGAATTAAAGCATTGCCAAGCGTTGACAATGAGGAGATTCATTTCCAAAGAGCCCTCTTATGAACTCGGTCTCTAGTGCCCATGCACCCCATGATGCACTCTAGTCAGGGACAGATTACAGTCAGTCCACCCAGGGTACCACCACCAGCTTGCAAAAGCTTGCTCCATATGGTACTGGGAGAAATATGATCCCAGGGACCGCGGAGAGTAAGTGCTTGCTGAGAAGGAAGGATAGCATGTGTCTGGCTACTTATGCTCTGTAAGCATGAAGAAAGGTGTTACTGTGGTGTTAGCAATGTGATTACAGTGTGGGGCCCACCGTAGAAAGCCCCAGAATCAACAGGTCAGATGGACACTAGTCATCTCAGAATATTTTTGCTGCCTGCTTTATGGCAGCTATACCAAGCAGAGAGCAGGCACAATGGAGGGTCTGTGCTTTTAGCAGCAATCAGGTCCACCTTACAGCTGATAATGTGACTCTAAATATATCAGTGATTAGGGCTACCCTGCACAGATTAAAGTCACAGCTCTATATCTCACATCTGAGGCACAACAGTTGGCCTGATGACAGGACAAACATGAACTCTATGACCTGTTTTTCCAAACTGTTTTTTAAAGCATGCTTTAAATATACTGGGTCACTGTCTGTGATAGCAGATTGCAACAACTGCAATTCCTTCTCTAAGCATGGCTTCCTTAAACTTCAAAAATTGCACTAGGGTGGAGCAGCCTGCATGATTAAGAGGTCATCTCATTAATGGTTTCAATGCCCCTAATTGTGTCACATCATTAAAAAAAAAAAAAAAAAAAACACTAAAATTGTTGTAAAAGGCATCAGCATAAGCTTTAAGCAAAAGAAAAACACATATACAAGCATTTCATTTTGTCGGCACTATAGCAATGTATAAAATACCTTTTTTTGACACACCTTTTTATAAAGATGCCTCAGTTATCCATTTTAACACATTTCAGGGACAAGAAGTGATCCTGTGACCCTGAACAAGCCGTTCTAATTGCATGTCTGTCCAGAGCTGAATTTAAGACTCTGCTGCCTTGACAAACAAGACTCCCTTTTCTCTGCCTCAGAAATCCCCAATATAATTATAGAAGATTCATTTCTTTCCATATTTTTCCCTAGGCAATGACCTGCTTTGCTTGTATGGCAAAATCAACCCCGATTCTATCATCCAGAGGATAACAGAGTTGCCTTATCTTTTTCAAATAAATGCAACTGGGAATTGCAAAAAGGAAAAAAAGACCTTATTCCTTTAATTGTTCACCATTTTAGCATGAAGTTACACACAGGGGAGCCTTGAAACTTCTTTCATGTTCTGACCCTTTAATTCAATTAAGGCCCTAAGCTAAAGCAAAGAGCTAGCAAGAGTCAGATACTATTGCTCCTGATAATGTAACTGCCAAAAAAATTAATGGCATATAAACAGTCCAAGTAGCTGTTTTGTTATGAGATTTCCCCTTCTGAAGTAGGTTAGTTTGCCTATTAGATGACAAAATTATATATGAATTCCTTACACACTCCCTTCAACCTTTGATTTAAAGTAGGCCACTGGATTTAGACACTTGAGGTGCAAAGAAGTATTCATATTTCCTAAACGGCCTTCTGTGATCTGAAGAGATCAATGGTATATATTTTACTTGCATTGCCACATTTGGAATCCTAGGGGGGAAACAAAAGGACAAATAATGGATTGATTTAGATGGAATTTGAGATTACAGCCTAAGGATTTCAAACACGTTTTGAAGACTTGTGAGAGGTCATATAAAGAGCCAACCATGTGTTGTGTTTTGCTTTGTTTTGTTTTTCTTTCCCCTATGGTCAAAGTATTGGCTGCTAAACGTGTAACTTTGAAGAAAATGGAACTTAGACTTAAAATCATTAATGTAGTCAAAGGGAAGTATCATGGGTCTGATCTTGAGCCTTAAATAAATAATTAAACAGAAAACCAGGAAATGGGAAACCAGGAAAAAAAAAAAAAGTTTTACTGAAAATAAAGAAAAAAACTGACACACTTTCATGTGTTACCAAATAAGGAACTCAAAAACATCTATTCTGAACCGGGGGGGAGGGGGGGAAAAGGGAGGGGGAAGGTACATAAAGTGAAAAAATACTCAGAAAAATAAGTCTTAAATATCCCCCCTAAATCTGAGGAATATACTTTAAGTGAATTTCATGATCAAGCAAAAATACTGAAATGCTTGAGAGTGTGTATTTGGGGATCTGCATTTTTCTCAGACATGTTTTTATGGCAGAAGTATTGATGAGGCAAAAGTAACAAAGAAGAGGTCATGGACAATGTTGGCTGTACAGAGTCAGAATGGACTGGGCTGGAAAAAGGCATCAAGTTCTCACCTCCTAATAGGAGAAGTCAGGTAGCAGCTGTATCTCAAGTATCTACATACAGATCCTCTCTCACAGCAGGCATTTTTAAGAGCATAGCTCTCTCTGCCCTTGCTTGAAGCTCTTGAATGCTGCTTTGGACCAAGGTGACCAAGAAGTTCTTGGTGAAGAACTGTAAATAGACTTGAAGGCAAAGAGACACTGCCAAGCCTGTTTGCTTGCCATCTTCTCCCAGAAACTCTTGAATCACAGAGTATCTCAAAATAAGGGTGAGGTGAGAAGAAGCTTTCTCCCTATGCAGTACATGCAAATGCCCAACATCCAATTTTGGAAGGACCTCCTTAGGAAACCAGTGTCTCATGGACTTGGCTCTGGGTTCTGTAGCTTATATGAGTTCTCCTACAGGAACGGTTTATAGGGAGTAATCCACCTCTAGTGAAAAAGCTTCCTTTTGGACTTCACTGCTCCTCTGTAGGATGGCCATGTTGACTGACCTCATTAATCTTGTTTTTCATGGTCACTGTACTGTGCAGTTATTCCATTAACATATTGTATTGCCTGAGGCTGCATTAATGTATGCTCTGTTCTATATTTGCCTAATTTATTTAGGCATTTGTAGTGCACTGACCACTGTAGGGTGTCTCTCTCTATGGGCAAATGAGAAGAGCATATGGCATGGAACTCCAAGCTATTGACTGTGCTCCTGGGAAGCCTCATAAAAAGGCACAGATACTCTGATGCAGTGGCTTTACACACCTCTGCTGTGGAAAAAAATAAATCTACATAAGGAGCACTTTATATACTTTTATGCCTATGCATAGTGTGCAGTGAAGGAAGGGAAGGGAGAACATGCCTACAGCCTGTAACAGATTTTTAACCCCCTGACAAATCTGGGATCCAACTTAAAGAGTAGATTTTGCAGAGCTTAGTAGCAGATCACATATGGCATTGCAAGGGCCAACACATAATTCAGACATTCTATTTTCTGTCATTTTTCGAGGCAACAATAGAACTGGATAGAATCAGCAAAGTGAAAAAAAATGACAAGGCGTTAATAAAAATAGGACTTCTTTCCATGAGTTCATCTCTCCAGCATTTAACATATATGCATACATTTCCTTGCTTGGAAATAAAGGTCATCATTCTTTTTTCTTTTTGCTCACCAAATGTATACATGACCTTTTTCTTTAGGAACGCAAAAAAGCACAAGATAAATGACATGAGAATACTTTTTTTTTTTTTTTTTTTTAAGTTTACTACACTCAGGCTTAAAAGACAGCACAAGTTGTGAATCAAATATAAATTAATGTGTTTTGCAACAATACATACGCATCATCTAATACTGAAAAAATTAATAATATTTTTTCCAATATTTTCCTTATTAATATTTTATTTTTTTATGATTAACTGTATTAGGTGAACAAAAGTGTAGAGAAAGTGTCATATGCTAAAGTTTCATGTTTTTACCATTAACTTTTGAATCATATTCTGTTTTTAAAGGCTGGTCATCAGATATCTATAGTGCGTTCTGAATTGCTTTTCTTATGTTAAGAAAAATATTGCAGATTTTTGATGACATATTCCAGAAATGGCTAGTGACTTTAGATGTCAGGCTTGAGACCCTCCTTGTATCTTTAATAGGTGTACTCATGGTTTCTGTGAATACTGTTCACACACTAAAGAGCTAGAATAGTAACAGTAAGAATGAGAAAATAATTCACTCAAAATCCAGAAAAATATAAGATCAGGAGTTGGCCTTTTGTTTAAGCTTTAAAACATCCATACCTCTCCAAAACAAGCAGCAACTGCACTGTTCAAAATAATGGAAAGCCAGCCCAAGCTTGATCCAAGTGCCCATCATCCCTTTTTCACAGTCATTACAATGCTGTCCAATTGCTGCAAACCCAGAGGAGACATGCTTTTAGGGGAGGGAGTAGATATCAGCTCATAGCCCTGCCTTGACCATTTGTCCCTTAGTAATGGCAAGGAATAAGGCAATTGGGAGAACAGAGCTGAGTGCTGCTGGAAAGGTAAGAATATCTTTAAAGGCTCAAAGGCTTGTTCAAATTGTTTTATGGCAACAGAGTAGCCATAAAAAATAATTTGAATTACAAACAGTGAAAATTTATTGTTAAACCAGTTACTGTGTCTGAGCCACAAGCGGCATCTGAGCAGAAAGGAAAGACCTGGAGCCGGATGGAGGAGGAAGGAGTTTCTTACCAGCATGTCACCCACGTGGCATCTCAGGCAGCACAAAGAGCAGATGTCTGCTGGGGGATGGAGAGCCCTTACCTATTCAGTACCTATTTATTTACCAGCACTCGTCAGCCTTGTCCTGGGAAGCAGGTAGTCTACAAGAGGAAAGGAATACCATAAATATGAGAGGAGGGAGGTAGAAATACCTTCCTCCATCCCCAGATCCATGTTTATGTATGGTATGACACATAACTTCATCCTCCCATGTGCTTTTGAATTCAGTTCTAGGTGGAGCTTCTGAAGGTGAGGAAACACTGAGGAAGTGTTGAAACTCAGAAAGTGGTGTTTACACCGTGTGTGTCATGAGGGAACTTTGTTCACCTCACAGTTGTAAACCTTGGGAGAAGAGTCGTCAAGCAGATATGTGTACACCGTTTTGCATGTTCCCTACACCGTAGGGTCATATGGAGGTAGTTTGCTGGAGAACTGATCCTTCCCACTGAGTCAGAGCAGCAATAAAACCATCCTCCTGGGGCAAAGGTCCAGATTCCAGAAATACAAACTAAGCTCTGCCCATCATAATGTACAGACAAAAGACATTTAAAAGCTGCTGCACATTATAGCTCCCCTAACATAACCAATGAGGTCTTCATAGCCAGTCCACAGTCTCATCTGCAGTTCCTGGACAGATCCTGGGTCATCAGAGACCCCCGATACAGCCAGTTGTCCCACTGATGGTGTTGTATTAGCATTTGGTCCCTGACTTTATCCAGAACAATGCGTTCTTGGAAAATGCATATATATTTACTCAAAAACTGATCCATGAAAAACCTGCTATTCCCAAGTCCGAATGGCTACAGCATGCCTATGCTGAGGGGATCCTTGAGGAATACACCACAAATACAATTACACCTTATTTCAGCAAGCCCTCCTGCCTCAGAACAGCTGAAAGTACATTATCAGGGCAACAAATGACAGCTTCAGCTGCAGATAAGATGAATTCTGTAAAGAAACCACCTCTGTGATGAAACAGAGGCAAACCTGTATAACTGCATATGTTGCACAAAGTAAATTAACAATTTATAACTCATTCACATAATGCAGTTGCTTGCAGCAAAAAGCCAAGAACTGTACCCCATTCAATGGAGCTTTAGGAAGACACTATTTTCACTGTGCTTTCAAAAAACAGTTGCTATCAGAGGCCAAAAGGAAATGGTAGGTGTTAGCTAGCCTAACTGTTGTGGATTTGACTGTCAGTTCTGTATCATATTGAGGCTGTGCATTCCTGCATGCACATCTAAATGTCAAACTCCTTACATGCACTGCAACTCAACTAGGTCATGTTAACGAGATCTTCAGAAGTGTGGCTTTAGGTGCTCTCCCAGCCAAACCAGCTTTAATCAAAGCCTTTCCTCAGTAAAAAAAAAAAAGAAAAAACAACAACACCTGTGCTTTCCTCTTAACCTTGGTGTTGTCAGAGACTTGATAGTAAGAACAGAGAGCAAGCTCTCTCCCTATTTACATGGATTTTATTTTTTTTTCCACCAGAATTTATGTGATTCCAAAATAAAAGAGAGGTATGCAAGATGGAACTTCATTCAAAAATAAAGTTTGTCTGTTTCCATGACATGTTATTATTTTGAAGAGTATTTGAGATACTAGATTCACAGCAATTTGGACATTTATTCAACATTTACTAAAAAGAAATACTTGGCTGTTTTTTTGTTTGTTTGTTTGTTTTCTTTCTCTCTCTTACATTCACTGCATAGAGGAAATCATTTTTGACCTGTATAAATGGCACACAAAAATGCTCTCCCCTGCCTTTTCCAAAGTTTAATCTAACAATCAAAAATGACAACAGCATAGATAAGCACAAATGTCAGCCAGCTGCACACTAGCACAGACATGTTTCATGGAGGAGGTGGAAATAACTCTCACTTTATTAAAGAAAGAAGGCTGATGTAGTCATGTTTGCTTTCCTGTATATATTCTTAAAAATTCATATTCCTAAGCTAAAAATGAAATAAAAACAAGTGCTGCTAACATGGAGACACATTTCAAGTGATCCTTTCAGTTTTCTAGATCACAGTATATTTTCTTGAAATAAAGTACACACACATACATGCACTCATACACAGAAGCAAACTTTACAGAATACCAGCAGATTTTCTAGTGTTCAAGTGTTCTTGTTACAAAGTGCGTTCTCTAAACTGGAATGTCTATCTCAAGTTGAATGCAGTGATTTTTCTTAAACTACAGTGAAACTTTCCCCTCAGAGTCCAAGCACAGGGAAGGCATGAAAAGTAGAAAAAAATAAGGGCTGCTCTTTGGGGAGGGGGTGGCTGGCTTCCAAGGGCACAAAGAAAGTACATGTCAGAGCAGCTGCAAATGCTTGAGCTGGGATTCAAATGCACAACCACAGCCCTCATGGTGATTAAGGAATAAGTTAACTCTCTGTAGAAAGATCTATTATTTGTAATGTGCAGTGCTCAGCACTGTACAGCCAGGGAGGGAAGCACCAACACAGCTCCTTTACTGCAGTCTCACATTTATCAGCAGCACTCAGATCATTCCTAGCACACACTGCACTTGAAGCTCATACACCTGGTTATACCAGCTTTCTTAATCATGCATTTTAAAAGGATTCCTCTTCTGATTTTATATTTTCAAACCAGTTCAGCTATCACCTGATTGTAGTTTACACACAACCCTAATCAACATATTAGAGCTTGGGAACTGCTGTGCCATGTCATTCCACTAAAAGGAAACAAGCTGTTCCTATGATGCATCCGATTGCCTGTTCACACAAAATTAAACCCTTAAAAAAAAAAAAAAAAAAAAAAAGCATTAAACACTTTTTGAACTGTGCAGCCACATGAAGTTGAGCCCTTCCCACCCCCTGCATAATGCTGCTTACATTAAGCCTTTGGAAACCTGTCCAGGTGTGCTTCCCACTGCCTGGAATCATGGGGTTGGAGGAGGCAGGATCTTGAAACCGCTGACACTGGCTTTCAATACACTCCTTATTTCCAAGTAAATATTCTGCAAGCTTGTGATTTTTTGGCACTACCTTCACTATTGTGGCATTGCCCTGAAGGACAGACTAACCCAGTTTAAAATAAGTATATTTAATAGTGCAGAGCTCTATAACCTGTCTAGTAGGGACTTTAACCATTGCTTTGTAAATGATTTCAAAACCAAGCTCAGTTACAAAAGAAAATGAATTTTCAGTTGACTAATTTTTTTTAGTAATAATTAGAAAGTTGTTTTGCAGGTTTTTGTTTCTGGAAAGTGTACAGGTTTACCCAACTGTAAGCACATTCGTGAAGGAGAGCAGCACATTTAATTTTTGCTTTTGAATCAGAACATAAGTTAATGTTTCAAGACAGATTTCTATATTGAGCTTACTCAAAACATGCAGCCAAGAAGAAGACAGACTGACCAACTGACTGACGCTCCCTCCTGCCCACACACAGAAACATGTATACTATGGCCAGATCTAGTAAACACTGGTTCAGGGGGAGTTCATTTCAACTTTAGTTTATGTCCAGAAGGTTTGCCGTGTTTTATGTCAGTGGTCATGTATTACTGGACAGGAGATTCAAAAGAGTAATGGAGAACACTTAGCTGTGAACAGCAGTTTAGTCTGTGTACTAGTAATGAAATGTGCTGTTAGCATGTGTGTTACTCTGTCCATTTTTTTGACATAGTAAGAATAAATAATTATCTTCAGCAAGAAAATCTTGTTGCATAATTTCAGCCTAACAGAAATTACCCAAATGGAGTTGTAAGACAGTTCAAAGGGTTTCATAATAAAATCAAAATCATTCCCAGTTAGGAATTTCTCCCATGATCAACATTTGGACTAGGTGTGCTACAAGGCCTATCTACTTCTTTCAACGATACTGCATTTGATTTTAGCTGTGCTTCTTGTGAGTTCTAGCCAAACAATGGGAAAATGTGTTTTTACAGTGTAAGGAAAATCTGGTGATTTTGAAAAATGATGAGTCCAACACTCCAAAAACTGACCCAGAGTCAGTCTCCAAGCACAGAACATTTAAACCCAGCATACTGCTTCTTGCTTTAGACACATTTTCCTTCCTTCCTTTTCCTGGTACAGGACAGATTAAAAGTGACTTTTGCAGCTAAATTAGAACTATTAAATATTGTGTTCATCATGGTAAACTTTATTCTCAACCATTTTGTTCTGGTGCTGATATTAGTCCAATTCCACCTTTAATCCTGCATTTTTGTTTCACATCTGCTGAGGAGACAATGAGGTAACCCAAAATAACACAAAAATATGAGTTTGTACTTGCATACCACAGTCCTTTTTGTCCCTTTGTCCCCCCTTGTTTTTTAAAACAGAAAAATATTTTTTATTTGTTAACATATTAATCTTACAATGTATCAGAATATAATAACATTGCCATTATTTGGATTAAATAATGAATTATATAGAAAACATTTTTAAAATGCATGAAATTGTCTTACGTATGCGAGATATGAACTAAATTTTGCTCTTCTTAACTGATTGGCATCTTACATCTTCTTTCAACAGGACTTCTAAGGACTGTAAAAAAATTACTCATTGCATGGAATAGACTATACCAGTAAGTAAAGGGAAAATACAGTTGTTCTCCTTGCAGACTCACCTCTGACGTACCTGTATTGGACTAAGTACAGCCCTTGCAGTAAGTTTCCTCTGCAAAGTGAGCATGAAGTTTTTGCCTCCATTTGCAAAAGCAACAAAGTGGCAATTGAAGTATCAGAGCTCTGGAGCTTGTGAGACTATCAAAGTTTGTTCATGGTTATAGAAAAAATAAATACGATGATAAATTTTTTTCCCAGTGCATTTGGATTTTTAAGGAGAAACAGTTCTCAGCAGACAGGCTTCTAGACCAGGGAAACAGCATTAAGTAGCCTAACATCTGACAAAGGAGATAGTACAGACATAGCCCCCGTCAGGTCAGGCAGACAAAGCCTCACAAAATCCAAATTTTGCCCTGTCAGCAAGGCATTGTTTATGTCAGGACACAGCAAAAAGGTTGTGCACAGATGGAAACTGGGTCAATCAAAGGTGAAGAGGCACAGGAGGAAGAGTTTAGCTGCTATCACTTCTTGAAGACAAGGTTATCTGAACTCTTGCTTTTTCAATTGTTTGTAGATGCATCATATTATTTTGTTCAAATATTTACTAGACCCCATCAAATAATCAAGCAAGCGAGATTTATTATTGTTGTTTCCAAAGCTGATTACAGAGGGGAGATATCGCTTGGATAATCAAGCAATGGGAAAAGATTAACATTTAGAGTATATGCTCCCACATCTCTTTTCAGAGCACAGATGCTAAAACTGCGGGACATCAGTTTAATCCCCAGGTATTGTCACAATCATGAATCCAACTGGTTTTATTCCAGGTAAACAATAGCCAACCGCTACATGCCTACTTACAAAACCATAATTAGGGGAACTGTCACCTAAGCCAATAATGCTTCAGCTGACCATACACAAAATAAATCCCTTTCATTTAGATATTAAGCTTATAGCCTTCTATTGCCTTACATGATGGGAGATAGGGACAGTCAAGGAATTCTGCTCATTTTTTTTAGCCGGACAGTGCAGGATTTGTCTGTCTTGAACTGGAGACAGTCTGACCCTAGCTAACAAGCAGGAGGACACAGCTACTGGCAGAGTTTCAGATAACTCCATCATTTAAGCTGTGAACTCTGAGGGAAGGGGAAAAGGGGAAAAAAGGGGGGAGAGGGGAATGAGGGGAAGGGGAGGGAAATGTTTTAGACAGAAAGTTTTGGCCCACAAACTGTGGTAAGATTCAAGTGTGCTGAAGCAGCCAGCTTTATCTAGTGATAGAGAGCAACTACTTAGATAGCAAATGAAGGAATGCAAGTGCATTTAAAACACTTCAGTTTGGAAAGGAAAGTTAAGGCACATCTTCTATTCAGACCTTTAAAGGAAATATTTGTGGCTTACAACTGCAAGTGGATAGGACATCTAAAGGCATTTCTTAAAATAACAAGAGGGAAGAAGTTGTTAGACTGATTATTCATTAGCTAACAGGGCCCTGGGAATAAAGGTATTTGCCAAACAAATAATTAAAAAGTATTAACTAAAACATTTTTGGAACACAAATTATCTCTTGTTTAAAACTAGTTGATCACAAAAGGTGACAAGCTATATTACACCATCCCAGATACAACACTGCTAAATTCATGGAGAAAAGTGAAGATTTACAGTAAGGAGCAGCTGAAGATGTACATCAGCCACCTGCACACCTGAACGCTTTTATTTACTTTCTGCTCCCACAGGTGTTCACAAATACTTTTTCCCACAGCAGCAGGCAGAGAGGGATGAAACACTCTGAAAACTTCTGTGGTCATGTGTTTCTGTGTAAATGCAAGTTGCACACAGGTGTACACTGGCCAAGTGTACAGGCAGGCCTGCCTGTGCAAACGCCAGTCCATAGCACTGGTTTGGTTCAGCATCAAAAACTGGGCCATAGTAGCCCAGGCACTGAAGCGTGGATTCAGCACATCAGGCACCCAAACAAGGCCTCTTCTCAGTTCCCTGTGCTGCAGTCCTGCAGGCAGCAGCCTTGTGCAAACACCCAGTTACGAACATCACATACCTTGTCCATTAGTCACAGTGTGTTGCGGGCTAGCATGTGTTCACGCAAATAGCATAAAAGTCAACAAATGCATAAAACCCTGTCATCTGGTCTTGAGTGAGCATAAGCAAACAGGAAGATGCATTTGCCATGAGAGGAAGGACTGTGGAGCAGCTGCCAGGCTTCATCTCGCCACCCGGATGCGGAGCTAGCTGCCGTCGCCAAACCCTCCCTGCTCAGCTGACGTTCAGGAAGGCTGGTCCCAAAGCCACCCACAACCTTCAGCTCCAAACTCTCCCTAAGTCCTTAGGAAATTCCCACGGGGCCAAGACACAAAAGACGGGGATGTTTCCAGGCAGTTTTCCCTGTGCTATTCATTGTGCAGAGGCATCCTCCTCCTCCTCCATGCAATCACCACCTGCATCCAGATCACACGTCTGCACCCTGTTTCTTCCTGGTTTCCTTTCAGTCCCATCAGCATTGATTTATCTCCTTCCCAACACGGGTGGCTTAAATAGCTTTTCATGGAAAATTCCACAGCAGAAAGAAATTTGGATTTCTCACAGGCTTGCTAAAGTCACCCAGTTTTACTCCTTCTTCTACTGTAAATCAACAAACCCTGAAGACCTTGGAGCAAGAAGTGCATACTCAAGAGATACTTTGCAACATTTTATTGGTGTGGAGTGTTTGCCAGTTTAGATTCCTCCTGAGGAATGTTAAATATATATATATATTAGTTTCCAAAAGAGGCTTTCCTCAATCAGAAAGCCATAAGAGCCTTTCACTAGCCTCCATGACTTGCTTCTACAAATTCTACAAAGACTGATGGTGATTCACCCCGTAGGAGAGTTGTGCTTAAACACACTGCTGGTAACACACTTCCAGCTTCAATGCAGCCAGTCTGAGGGCTATTCTCATCACAGGAGGCACCACCTGCCCAGACACAGAGCAATACAAGTTCCTTTGTACTCGAAGACTGGACAGTAAACAGGCTGCCAGTACAAGGCAGTTGGATGAAAAGAATCAGAAGAATGCACTTTACAGCTGCTCAATTCGATGATCAGGGAGGAGGAGGAAGAAGGGAGAGGTATCTGGGCTCTGGTGTTTGCATTAAGGTCAGCCCTTTGTCTTAACACTTTACAGCTCGCTGTGAGACCATTCCACTTAGACTCAGAGAAGCATCATCCAGCAGGTTGTAGTCAGCCATGTAGTCATTTAATCATTAGCACCAAAATCACAGCTATGGTCGAAGAGCCAATATTTTAGACTTATGCCTTATTTTCAAAAGAGACAGAGATGCTGCCCATCTCTTCTGACAAAATAGAGAAATCTCTATCTGCAGAAAAAAAGCTAAGAAGACTTACTCGTGGTTGTACCAGCAGTGATTTTATATACTTTTAAAACATTCCTATGCTTTTTGCAGGATCAGTACAGAGATGTATTTCACATAACTTTTCTGTGTAAATTAGTTCAGAGCAGAAGCAGGGAGAAATGGCTGCACGCACAACAGTAACAAAATCATGTTGCTTCAGAAGAACATTAATTAATTTTGTGACCCCTCCACTCTCTCTGACCCAGTTCTGAGAAGCTTATTGCAGTTGTCAGGTCAGAGCTCATTTCAAAGAGCCAAGTGTTAACTTTGCACTTACAGTTTATGCTGGCTGGAGTCTGTCTGCTTGCATAGGATATGTCCTTGGTCTTGACCTGCATTATTTCCTATGGTTCCATAGTGCAGAAGTAAGGAATAAGCCTTCCAAAACAATTTACAGATGGCATTGATCAGTGGGCTAAAACTCCACAGCTGATTAGTTCTGCCTTCTTTAGGAGTTAATGGGAAAATAAACCTTCTCTTTAATGAGATGGACAACATAAAAATGTTTTCTGGAAAATAGGCAAGATGCCTTATTGCAAAAATGATACATACAGAAAAGCAGCAAAGTGCCAGAAATCCCACAGACGTGATAAAGCTCAATAAATAGGATGGATAAACAAAATAAAATCAGGGAACCATGGAATTCTCCCACAGATTGGGGTAAACTTGTTCTCCCTTCCATACCAGTCCTATACCCAAGCTTATTTTATCTGAGAATGCTAAAACAGCACTGAAGAGACTCAAGAAAACCATTAACACTTGTGGTGGGTAGTGTTAATTTAATCTTTATCCCATACAGAATATTAAAGAGGAAAAGCACACTTGTTTGTTTGTAGAGCTTACCCCTTAAGTGGGAGCATCAGCTGTAAATAATTGAAGCTAATCGCAAGTGGCAGCAGAGCAATGCATGCACATGTAAAGGCACATACCAAGTACATATATTTTTAAAGAACACGCAGTTATATATTACATATACCACAATGTCTCCACAAAGAAAAAAATAATAAAATAATAATAATATTCATCATCATTTTGGCAACAGTTGAGCCACTGCTTCCAGAGTAAGCTCTCTGCATTTTCAGACATATTGAGCTCTCTTGACAAGTGCCTCCATTTGGATCCCAGAAACTGAGGCAGTTAAAGTTACAGATGTTATTGAAACACAAGCCATGGGTAACTTTCAAGCATAGTCTATCCTTTTTTTCCCCTCTCACACCAAACAGATTGCTCTAGATGTATTGTTATTAACTAAAATCTTACAGTATGATATGTGATTTGGGAAAGTAAAGTATTTCTTACAAAACTGTTTCTTATTATATATATGTATGTCAAATTTATAAATGCTGTTGATAAAAAGCAATTGAAGTCACCCCAAAAAATTCAATGGTAGAGTATGGCAAAAATACATCATAGGTCAGTTTTGCTTATTATTCTATATTGAGGTTTGCCTACATACATTATTTTTGTTCAATGAGTCAAATATATTTGCGTTACTCTTAGGAATTTGTACTTTATTCAAACCTGGAAGTGAAAAAGTTCTTTTCTGCACTTACTTCTGAGGGGAACCTGAAAAACTAGGATGCTGCACAGCAGCTGCAGAACAGTGTGATGTTTCAGAGAGCTCAAAGCATAGGAGAAGAGATGATGGAACTTGTCTTAAGTTCGGCTGCACATCCCTCCTTTCCAGAGCATTCATTTTACGAAAGGGTATAATGAGCTCCTTAGATGTAGGAGTGAGATCATGCACAGATGCAATAGAAAAGCTGTTACTCTCCTCCAAAATGGCAATCTGTCTTGTCACTACTTTGGTTTCAGCTTCACTTAGTCCCTTTTTTCTTTTACATATATATATATATTTTTTTTTTCATTGTTATTCTTAAGTACAGTTTCTGCTTCACTTGGGTTCACTAGGAAGTTGTACTGTCAGCCCTTTCAGCTTTCATGTCTTTGGCTGAAGAAATGAGCTTGACTGTATTTACTCCTCAGGGATTTTAATTATGATGGAGACCTGAAGAGCTCATTTTCAAGGGACATCCTTGCAAAGACCGGCTGCCTGACACAGCTGCTACAAGACACCAAAGAAATCATGCCACTACTGCCACTTCTGGGTGCACAGAATATATATCCTGCACGCAAAAAAAAATTATAAAGATGATAGAATGGCATGTGGGGATAATTTTTAAGTCCACCTAGACAGTAACCAGTTGTCCTCTCCGGAACACAGGGCACATCTGCATCTGTGCCTTGTGGCAGAGTATAATGGGGAAAGGAGCACCGAAACCAATAATACAGGAAAATAACATCATTCTTTGAAAAGAGACTTTCCACCCTGTATGGCAGTGGGTTATTGCACTACTACCATTGGAGCCTTCTCTGTACTCTTTGTTCTGATGTTATGTACAGAAAGAAGGGAAAGGTCTGAATCAGCCAAATGCAGCACACTGTTCGGTCTCAGAAGCATTACTAATCTTGTTACAATATCAACTGTGAGGCATCCCTCAGTAGTAAGGGGGAATGGAGCTAAAACAAAGGGAGGAAGGATCACTAGCACAGGACTGAGGCAGCAAAACAAGCAGGACTAAGGGGCAGAAAATGAGGACTGGAGAGAAAGATAAGAAGGTGACAAGTCTGAGAGGGTACAAAAGTAAGCACAATGAAACAAACTCAATTTTGCACCAGAGTAGAGGCCTTATGGCATCCCAAAAGGCCCCTAGTTCTTTTTGCACCTTTTTGATGATAGTAAGGCTGACTCCTGTGGCACACCAGTGTTGAACTGCATCTCAGAGAGTCTTCTAGTCACTGACACCTCGAACTGAGAACAGCACAGAGAGTGAGCACCAAGAGGTCTGTGCATCATACAGTGGCCATAGAAGGACTTAATCATCTTCCTCTGGTGAATTTATGAAGCAGCTGCTCTATAAGGCCTTGGTGCTTAAGGATGAATGATTTGTTTTAAGGAACACTGCTTGGTGTTGGGGAAGATTACCATGCATGTCCTTAGCCATGAACACCAGGAGATAGATGAGCTGTTCTGCTTGACCTTTAATATAGAGGAGAGGGGATTTTGGAAAGAAGTGTGATTATTTGTATGTCTTGTCTTATAGCCTGCACTTTAACTGCGTTTTTCTAGCTCATGCAGCTGTGTTTGACTGTAGGAGAGAAGAGCTCTCAGACTTTATTCTAGCACTATTCATACCTAAGGGAATGTGATGGTAGTCTTCCTGGTGCATTTTTTTTTCACTAAAAAAGAAATTACCAGAGCTTGCTTGATTGCTTTTTTTATTTTTTATTTTTTATTTTTTATTTTTTCTCTCTCTTAAGTGACACATTCAACAGAAGTTTTAGGCAATATGTTTATTGCCTATTATTACACACTTTTTCACTGTTCTAGTTATCATCACTTAGGATCCTGCAGAATTAGGGATTTATTTAGGCCATCTGGGAAAGGAGCAGAAGTCTTATATGTGAAAAACAACCTGGAGTGAAAGAAACTTCTTCCTTCCCACACAGTCCCTGGAGTTTTGTGTTTACCCTGGATGATGCCTGCATCTCTTTAGGGCAGGAAGAGGCGAGTTTCAGGGCTTGGAGATCCAAGCCAATCTTAGTTGGCTGGAGCAAGAAAAAAGAAAGATTTACCTGAATGTTTATGAATACTGAATTCTTGTTCTGTTAGAGAAATTGCTGGAATTAAATACATTGAGGATTTTCTCTCTCTTTGTTTTACTCTGTTTCATATTATGCTAACACGTACTACACAGGAAAACAAATCAGGAACATTTTAGCTTTCTACTGGACAGACAAAGGGAAACCTAAAAAGAAGAATCCACCAAAAGTATATCTTGCCATGATTTGAGATTTGTAAGGATCAATATTACCCAAAACCCCAAACCCAAAGATACTGTTTTTAAAATACTCTAACAGCTTTAGTACAGATATTACTAAGTTGATAAAGCAGAACACGGAGTGACAAGGTCAATCAGACACTTAAAATAGCAGAGCAGAAAGTATTTAGAACATTGGGAGCAACATATCTTGAATTTAATAAACCAAGGATTCTGAAAGCCCTATTTGAGATATCTTAATTGATCTTGATTTTTGGAAAATGTTATTTTCTGAAAATGTGCTCTTTTGAATGAGTAGTAATGCAGCACTCATTTTGAGAATTAAAGTCACCTTTTGTGTTATTGCTGTGTCTAAACTGTGTAATATTGTTAAGACCTTTGTATTTTAGTTGCAAAATAAACACTGAATCAAGCTTTGCAGTCTCTTAGTAACATGTCGTCTCCAATTTCCAAAATAAATTGAGGGTAATGAAACTATTTACTGGAGGACAAGTTGCAGGAGAAAGTTTTAAATTAGAAGGTTCAGTAACATCTTAATAATTTTTATGCTGCATTAAGCCAGAAGATTATTCCTGTTATTGTCATGCTTAACTTATAGGGAAAGCTTCAATGCATATCCAGCATAATAATAATAATAATAGTTCTAAAAATATGGGTAAAATGAGAGAGTTCATGATCAGCCACTATTAATGATTGTCTCAAATTAAAAAATAAAATAAAATAAAAATAAAATAAAATGAAAATAAAATAAATAAAATAAAATAAATAAAATAAAATATAAGATAAATTGATTTTTAACTTCAAAACTGATATCTTCCAAACTGATATCCACGACTTAAGCCCAAGTTAAACAAAAAACTTTTCAAACTGCAAAAAATAATGTTGCTGCATTTTGTATCTGTGGATGGCACTAAGAAAAGAGAAGACTTGGTCTCTGTACACAAAGAAACAAAGGAGTAACATCTAAAAACAGGCATACCAATGTTATGAATAAATGCTGGCAACCTCAAAAGAAATTTGTTGCCTCAGACTTCACTTTAGCTAGAGCTAGCACCTCTGCTCTAAATGAAGATCTTTCTAATACCTCCCATTTTGGGATAATCTAATATGGATACCATTTGGTATCCATAGTACCATGTTGTTCACTGAAAAGGAAGACTGACATTTTAATAACTGAGTCATCTACATGATGTGTCAGTTCCATGTAGAAACTTCCCTGAAGAATTTCCCTGACCAAGTATTAGTCACAGCTGAGCAAAACATTTTGTAATGGTCCAAGCTAAAACCTTGTTCTAATATCAGACATCTGGATGAAGTGAAGACCATATTTGTTGTTCTTGCTTGCTTGAAAACTAAACCAAACAAAATTAAAAAAAAAAAAGGGGGGGGGGGGGAGGGAAGGATGTCACAAGGGGGTTGTCGTATGTGCTATGTATAGAAGTGTCATGGTAAATATAATCTCCAGCCTGTCAAAAATGTTGTCACTCTACATTACTGGCGGAATCTTGCCATAGAGTCATCAATCTCTACAGAGTTGTGATGATGCGTCTAATTTGTTGGACTCTCATTGCTACAATATTTTGTCTATTATCCATGCATATAGACAAACAAAATCAATGTTGTTCAAAAAATAAAATAAAATAAAAATCATATGATCTACTTTGGATTCAATTTGTAAACACTTTTCTCCTCTTCAAGTTACATATGGAGGGCATTTTCCCTGTATTCAATCCTTCTCCAAATATAAAGGAGTTGTCACATCTTACACTCAAACTTGCATGGGTGACAATCTTACTGTGATTGATTACCCTAGAGTCACACTTAAAACAAAAGCTATAGAAGCATTTGTTCATACAATGACATAAATTTCCATTCTTTTTAATCTTCCTGCCCTGTGAGCATTCTCATTTCCTTCATTAGCAACCTCTATCTGAGATTACCTCTTTCACTTTGCAGTCTGGGAGACCTTTCTAATGTGTTAGTTATCCTTTCTTTCTAATAGTTATCCTTTCTCCTCTTCTGTTACTCAGAAATTATATAAATAAAAATCACACTTCCCAAATAATACACAACAAAGAAATACAACAGACTTCTCACTTAGTCATTGAATTATTTGCCATCTTCAAACTGTCAACAACTTCTTGATGGAAATATTTTATGACTCATTTCTTCCTTGTCATCCTAGAGAATAATTTATCTTCTCACTTTTACCTTAAGATGCAAAGCTCCCTTGTTTGTTTAGAGGGGCTGGTTAGCTGGTTTGGTTTTGGATACCAGATCACTGAAATAGGCTTGTAAATATACAAGGTGATAAATGTATATGAAGAAGCATGAAGTTCATCAATTTAAAATATTCTGCCTTGAGGTCAACCAGAGCTTGCAGAGGGTCATCTGGTGTATGCCCGGGTGCTGAAGCCTGTGGGGTAGAGGACGGCTGACAGGGATACCAGGTAAGGACCAAAGTAGACACTGCGGTTCAATGTCTTCTCCCATTTATTCCCACATCTTGGTGCACATGCACCCCTGTGCTTTCAGTAGTTATGCCAAACATTAAAACTCAGAAATCTTCCCCCTCCCCCCCCAGATATGTGCATGTGCAACTCCCCATCCATTTCAGTGGAGCTTTATTCACATTTGCTAAAGTTTTGAAGATTTGAATTTTGAAATGCTTTATATGCTTCATTTTAATAACGATCCATGTGCATTCACTAATCAGCAGTGAACTCTTTAGTGATGACTAGATCTTCACAGATTTTCACATACTGCCATTTGTCTGCTGTTCTCTAGTGTCAATAATATCCAGGATAAATCATTCACCTATAAATATTTTTGTGCTTGTCTATATCCAGCTCCTGTAAATCAGTCATTATGAACACATTGCAAATCTTTGTTTTGGACTGGAGAAGTTTGTGTCTGCCCCTGAATATTCTTTGTGGGTATAAATCCAGAAATTTCCCTTAGATAAAACCAGACAATTATTTCAGTGAAATCTCTATAAGAAAGACTCACTGGAGATTTGTTTTATGAAAGCAACTACACACAAACCCCCATAAAAACAAATATGCACAACCTCCCATAATAACAAATAGATTTTTCAGTTATTATCTACTGAACACAAAGAGCACATTTCCTATAATAAGGGCAAAACACAATCTAATTTTTCTAAGTACAACCCACTCCCTTGTTGATTTTTTTTTTCAATAGGAATGACGAGAGCAGCAGCAAACAGCAGCACACACCTAACAAAGACTGCTGTAGCGCTAGAATGTCTCTCCAGCTGCTGCTTTATTGAATCTTCTCTTTATGAGGTCTATTATCCATGCATTATACTTCTTGTTTCCCCTTCTTCACCAGCATCTTCCCTACTGCAGGTGGCCACTGCTGGCCCTGAATTGAAATTTTCTTGTGCAATAGACCCTGTAACCTCTCCTTTAAACTGCACAGCCTCCATTTCCTTTGCAATATATGAAGAATACTGCTCTTCCTTTCAATTATTGTGCCTTCAGCATTATATCTGGTCATTATTTTCCTCCTTTTTTTTTTCTTCCTCTTTGTTACTTTAGAATCAGAAAATAATGTCTCTGATCGTTATAGACATGTAATCAGGATAACCAAAGGCAGCTCCTGAAGGATGCAATGATAAATTTTATTATAAAATGGAACACCTAAATGTAAAAGTCATGGATTAGATAGTTTTAGATGTGTTTAGGTAGGTGCTTAAAAGCATGTGTCTTCAAATGATATAAACACAGATCTCAGCAGAGCTTTCAAGTGTCGTGTTTAACATCAGTTCAGAACATGGTAAGACACAAAATATAATATATCCTTATACTGGTAAGCATGATAATAATGAAATCTGTTGGAATAAAAACTAGAAAACATAATGCATGTGCAAGGACACCTGTTGCTACATTTTTATTTCACAGAAGCTTACTGTGCTAAGATAGTGCATCTAGTACACAGGTAGAGCTTTCAGGCAGCTGGGCAATATTTAGCTTCAAATAAAAATTGCTTTTCTTTGCAGAGTTTTCTGGTCTAAATCCCATTGACTAATTATCTATTAGAACTGAATAAGAACATTTTTGCCTTTGCCAGTTTTTTTTTTTTAACTTAAATATCTTCTACATGTTGAAAGAATAGAGATTATGGTTACTAACTTTCCAGTTTCTAAAGGAAAAACAAGCTGAACACATGTAAATAACAAGTATGTTGAATGACTTAGTTTGAAAAAATGTCTAATCTGCCTTGTGAGGTATCCATTCTCACAAAATAAATAAATAAGCAAATAAGGATTTCCTCTAAAACATTATTCATATGGGACCTCTCAAATTTCATCAAATCAAAAGACCAGAATTACTAGGTTTTGACTAATACAAACACAAATGAGAGAAAATATTTTAATCTGGGACTTCCATTTGCTAAACTCCAATCTGAGCAGAATAGAGCCCTGGACTGATTTCTCCAGCTGTGGTCAGTGAGTGTAATGCAGTAGTCCAGCTGTAAGACTTGCAGAGCACTCCTCTGCTTGCACTGACCAGTCATGGGAATGTAAGAATGATGCAACATCTCTCTGACAGCTTCTCTGTCCCACTCTGATCATCACACACACACAAGTTTGATGGCAGTGTCACCTTGCCTCAGCAGACTTTAATGGATAGCTAGCCACTTTATGTTGGCAGACATTTTGCTGAACTTTCAGCCCTAGTTTGGAGAATTGATTGACTGTACTTTGTTGTGGTCCTCACAAGGCCCAGAACAGCTCTGAGACTGAGTAGGAATAAATGTGAAAACACAGACTAGGCCTGCTTGACTGGAGACAATGACTCACAATCTTCTTTTTGCTACCCTCTGCAAAATTTCATGTTGCAAGATACGCACCCATGAGAGTCTCTTTCCCCATATTTTTTCTTCCCTGTCCTTCTCCTGTTCAAGATTAGCTAATACATATTCCTCAGAATTGTCAAAATAAAACAGTTACCTCTAAACTAAGACAAAACACCAACACTTTCAAATCAGAACAAGACAACTTGGAAAGGCTAAGTGCAAAAACAATAACAGATTCATATGCATTGCTTCAGTATCTTAGCTGCTTTGCCAACAACACTGTTTATTTAACAAATAAATCTAATTAAATTTTGACAGAATCTAGGATTCCCAGTTATGGCTGGGAACTCATTGTGTTACATTTTTATATGTTCAGGAAAGAGAGAGAGAGACAGAGAAAGAAAGAGAGAGAAAGAATTCTTTTATTTAGATGTTGGAAATTCCATACTTACACATAAATCCATGTATGAAATATCGTAAACAAAATATAAAGACAGATTTTGTCAAGCTACTGCTTTTCAAGATGTATGTTAGTTTAATAAGATTGACATTTTAGCAAGCTGAAGATCATAAGGCATGTTTTATGGTGCATTAAAATCTCATAATAACAATTTCAGAGAGTTAGCATAATATATTATTCAGAGTTAAATACTGCCTTGAATGATAAGGGCTATATGCCATCAGGCTATAATAAACTACAGCTTTGAAATATCAATTTTAATTTATCAGTAAAGTCATTTACATAGCTAAAGCAGGAATGTAATGATGTATTTTCTGCCTAACTAGAAGGAAAAAAAAAAAAAGGCAAAAAAAAAAAAAAGCATGTCTTTTCCAACATCCAGAAAATATGAAAATATTCTGAGAAAGCCATTATTAAGTCATTTAACCTTTCATACAAAATAAATTGTTATGGATTAGTTATAAAGCTGAAAGTAAACACATTCTGATTTTTTTTTTTTTTTTTATTGAATGTAAGTAAACTTACATAAAATCTAGGGGAAATATTGTATTCAGGCACAAATGTATTACTGTAACTGGCTTTTTGACAAATTGCAACTATTTATCTGATATTTCTGTAAGTGGCACAAAAAAGCCATGCAGCACTCCTCTACAACTTCACCCTGAAGAGGAATTTATCAGAGTGACTTACTTAGAGCTGCACATTGATTTGCCCTTCATCCACATCTGAAATACCATACTTTAAGGCCTTTAAGCTGGTAAAAGGGTACACTCATGCAGTTAATAGGGTGGAAAAGAGGGCAGTTAATAGGGTGGAAAAGAGGGCAGCTAATATGAGACAGCGAAGGAGACACAAGATCAGAAAGTACCTTTAACCCCAAATCTTACTTCTCAGTTTGGGTTGAGAGCCATAGGAGTGTCCACAACTCTAGAGAGCTTCAGGCTACATTTATCTGATTTGATGGCACAAATTTCAGAGCCCTTCTTTCCAAAAACACATGGCCAGCAAAGTGGGAAGTTAACCAGGAATGTGTCCAAGCTGCCTGTGTGCTGTGAGCCTCCCAGAGCTCCAGTTGCCCCATTTCTCATGCTGTCTATGTATATTTAACAGTAAACTTTTGACAAGTAGCAGCTTAAGCACCTGCAATTCCTTCTCTGCCTTCAGCACAGCTATACGGTCAGGGCAAGCCACAGGACCAGGTATTGCACACAGCCTTGAACGCAGGTGCTCAAGCCATTGCTATGGGAATACAAAGGGCAAGGGGAGAAGTCTGGTACAAGGAGGCTTATCTTGGCCTCCCACATGATGCTGTGAGAGACACAGAGCACCAATCCAGGAATATACTTCAACCTGTTGCCAGAAAAGATCAGAAATTCCTCTCCACCTGACTATCACGGTCTTCCTTGGCCATGAGGGACAGTCAGTACAGAAGTGCCCCAGAAAATGCAGCTCTGGAAGCCATGGAGAAACACCTCTTCGGCACACCAGGTCTGCACCTTTAGGGTAAGGGGAATGATGAGGCCTCCCAGCCACAGCAGCACACTTGACCTAGGTCAGAGTAATGAATCCCAGCCACTTGTGCCTGGATGTGAACTACTACAAAGTAGTTCTTTATCCATTGTCCTCTATGACATCCTCTGCATTAGGACTAACCTGTTATTTACACTACAGTCTTTAATCACAACAGCAGGCAGATCAGGTCCAAAGTACTCATTCAAACTGGCTTCAGGACTTAAAGCTTTGGAGTGGGCTGTAAGAAATCATAAATTTCATCAATTACTTTGAAATATGCACCAGAAAACAAACAAACAAACAAACAAAAAAACACCATGCTATTCTGTCTGGCTCAGCATAGTAGAAATTCAATGTGTGTCACAGGCAGTGTTGATTTTATAATGCAATTTTAAAAACCTCTCAACTCACAGGAAGCAGTCTATAGTGCATGAGTGAAGTTTGGTCATTTAAACAAGCAGGACACTGGAGTCACCATAGCAGTCCACGGTGCAGCACAGCCTCTGTCCTGAGTTTTGGTAGTATGCTAAGCTAAGTCTTACTGCAACACTAGCTATGTTTTGTACCAAGTTTAATTTAATTCTAGAGTAGGTAATCTCTCATAATAGGAGTTATTTGCCTTTCTTTATTTTTTTTATCTTACAGAATAATTGTATGTTTCAGTCACTGTGCACATACCTCTGTGAAGGTGACAAACCGGTCTGGAAGAGCACAGCAAGTATAAATCAGTATTTAAAAGACCTGTACCTTTAAATCTCTGAACTTTTCTGTTTCTCATCTCCCTTGTTCCCTTCATACACACTCACATTGCTGTTGTTTTGTTTTTTATATGTCACTGGCCTTATTAGCAATGTAGCAGAATTAGACTGTGATGAGCCTGTACAGAATAAAAGGCAGGTGTCAGGCTGCTATCAGGTCCAATTGGGACTTTGAGGAAAGAATCAAACAGCCTCCTTTCAAAATGATTGATGCCTTCTCCAGATTTAGCTTAATAACTTTGTGCATTTGTATCAACAGCTTTGAGGTGAAATTTCCAGAAGCTGCTCTTGTCATCCCTGCCAAAGTGGATTGTCAAGATCTGCAGGTGGCTGAGACCAGTACAGGGACTGAGATCAAACCTGACCATCAGTTCCTGCAAAGTCCTTCCAGTGTTGCCAACCTAAGGTGAAACATGCTGGGAGCGGACAAAGGGAACATCTCTGTAAAAATAAGTAACCCTGATTTTAAAACACAAGGATGAGATTCACATCCACATATAGTTTAGTGAGCAGCTTGATTTTTAATAGTGTTAAGAACTGGTAGGTGTGCAGTACACCTGGGGAGGAAAGGAAGGAAAAATCAGAGATGTAGGAGCAGAATTAGGAATGAGATTCCTGCCAGTATGGTCAGGCCAGCGCTTCCCCCATCCTCAGGGCAGCCCCTGACATGAGCCCTAGACAAGTGCCTTCATGCCGCAGGTTTTGATTCCACCACATTTGTTTTCAGACTCATTTGTCAACAACAAAAGAACAAAGTTCAAGCAAACTGCTAAGGTATCATTTCTTACGAATAATGAACAAGGCTAAAGACACCTCCTGCAGATTAATGATGGGTTGGAACCAGTTAATCACCTCAAGCCATTAACCCTAACATGTTATTAAACTCTAGACCTAAACCAAGTCCTCAGTCAGTGTGGCTGCTATTCACCCCTCCAATTTCTACACCCATACTTCGATCTCTCTCCTAACTCCCACCCAAACAAAATCAGTGAAAAACTGTATGTGAGAATTTGTATTACATGCACGTAGAGACAGACGTCAGCTACATAGATTGTGGAAGTTGTCTATTTCTCAGCTGTTTTAAAGCAATATTTGTTCCATGTCACATACAAGGTATTTGAGGGCATTGAAAGCCTGCCATGTTAGTCAGTCAGGGCTCACCAGTCTTTCCACAAAGTAATTTAGTTTATAGCATGGCAGGAAATAGGGCAGGGAGAAAGGAGCTGAGGGGAAGGGAGGAAGAAAATAGGGGGTGGGGGGGAGGAGGAGGGAAAGCTGAGGAGATAACTGACATCTTTCTTAAGAGGAATCTATTCATAAATTAATTTCTTGATGTATTCTAATAGATTTTTGTTTTGTTTTATTTTATAACCCTATTGTACAGTAGCTGCCTGTTATTTGCTCTAATCATCTGTTTCCATGACCTTCACCTTTATTGATTTGGCTTCTTCCAAAGTTTAATGCAGTCTCTGAGATTAAAGTCATTTTTCTCCAGGCCAAGTTGGTTAACAGAAGATTTGCTTTTAAGAGAAGTAGAAATCATTGTGATTAGTAAAAAGTGATTTTGAACAGAGAAAATATGTTTAAGTAAATAAAACCCCTTTACAGAGCCAAGCAATAGAAGGGGGCTCCAGCTCATAAACAATGTCAGTTTATTTTTTTTTGTTTGGTTTGTTTTGTTTTTAAAAAAGTGAAAAATTGAGTGAAAAAATAAAAGTAGGGTTGCTTATAGTATATTTATGAGTGCTACAAATCCTGCAGATTTGAAGAATAAGGTACATAGGATTTTATTTTCTCCTCCCAGATGTTACTTTAATCAGGTTTCTAGTTGCAATAAATAGAGAATCATATTATATGCAGTAATGTTCCCCAACAGATATAGTAACATAACTCAACATTTTGCAATTGTAGCAGGTGAGATTATAAATCAAAGACAAAATTTACTACAAGAATATAATAAACCAGATCCCATTTTCCTTAACAATTTATAGTTCTGATTTGATTATACAGCTTATTTGCTTAATTTTATTACTGCTTTAAACTCCTGCCTCCTTCATGATAATCCATTCTCTAATGTCAACCTTCAGTTACATGTTTCAGTAAGAAAAGCACACAGTTGTTTCTTATATATAATACATCAAAAACTGCAGGCTGCCTTTCCATAGTCACACATACAAGGATTGGATTCTGCAGCCCCTTTACCTCACTTGAGACCATAATGAATTACCAGAGATAAACAGACGGATCCAAACCCACTGCAGTAAATGGAAAATCATCTGTTGACCTCACAGGGCTTTGAACCATTCCTGCCCTGACAGCAGACATTCATTTCCTGTTCCCAGACTCTGCCAGGGTAATAATAAATGTATTACCCAACTCAGCTCTAGTACTCGGCAGCAAAATGAACCAGAGAGAACATGCAGTACAAACAAATATACCTAATTTTTTCTATACCATACACAAAATTCAGAAGGACAAAAACCCAACATATAATTATCCTCATGTAAAAAAGAAATGAAAAACAAACTGCAGATAAATCTTCGATTGCAATTTTTCTCATTCTCCCTCTCATATACTTTTTCACCATTATTTTTCCATTACCACAATATCATTTCTGATGAAGAAAAAAAAAAAAAAAGACACTCATGAATTAATCATACATTTAGCTCATAAATATTTGAACCACATACTGGTTTCTGTTAAAATGGTACAGATTTACTGGAACAGAAACCAAACAGCAGCTACAGAAGCACCACTTCCTGTTGATAACTAAAACTGAGCTCTGCAAGCTCACAAATTAGCATCTGTTGTCTGGAGTTTCCCCTATAGTGCTTCAGCTGTGTTTTCCCTAGGTATTGTTTTGTTTTCATCCCTTGCAGTTTTCTAAAATTCCTCTGAAACTGAACAATTGGGAAAAAAAAAATGTTGAATGTTACTATGGTAACTAAAAAAAAAAAAAAAAGAAAAACACTTCAAACAGACCGATGACTCAGGGCACAGCTTCTCAACAGAAACCAACGCACTGGTGCTTTGTCCATGAATAGAGCAATTTGGGGGCCTATTTAAAGGTGTTGAACTCAAGGAATATATTAATACTCCACTCTTTCATTTATCATAGAATATTTTTCTCTACTGAGCAACAGTATGGCATTATGTGTGGCATTAATTAGCACATATATCTTTGTATCATACATGTCTTCCACAGAAACTATTTCAAGCTACCGTTAAGGTCAAAGCATTACATGCAGAGAAATTAAAACCAAAACTTAAAAACAACAACAGAAAATCAATTACAATTGTACGTAGGCTCTTTCATCCCCTCACACATGAACATAAAAGACTTTAACTACTGACTCAGGGTCATTTCTTACACTCTTACACATTTCTTATACTTTTTATACATTTCTTATAGAAGAACCTTTCTGGGTTAATGAGACCAATCCTCAGCTATTACATGCAACCAGACTGTGTATGACAAGCCATGAAAATACCAAACTCCTTAAAACTGCTGTGATTTTTGCAATTATGACTCCCATCAGGAAGCTGTCCCAGAGTTTTATTCCTGAGAGGTCTCAAAAGCATACACACACCATTTTCAGTCAAGTTTACTTATTTTTTGCTAGATTATACCCCTCCCCTTTTCCCCTATTTTATAGATAGATAGATAGATAGATAGATAGATAGATGATAGATAGATAGATAGATAGATAGATAGATAGATAGATAGATAGATTTTTTCCCCAGAGCAAGCACTGACTGTCCTTTAGCTTAAACTGCTCCCCTCCCTCTTTGGTGTAGAGAATACACTGACATATTTATAAAGAACACTATTTTCCCTAGCCATTCTTTGTTACATGAATATATCGTTTGGCTTGCTCATCTTTATTTTTAAGACAGACTTTTCTTTCATTTGTTAATTCCTGTAGTCGTCTTCAATTGTTATTATGAAATTTCATTTTCACTGATCAGTGAGAAACTCCAGATTTTGTCTTACCTGGCTCTTGTATGATAGGATTAATGCTTCTTTTTCATCACTGGAAATCGCTCCTGATACACCCCAGAAAATATGACCCTACCATATCATCATACTATCCTTCTCCTAGGCTATGTATCAATGCATGTGAAAGCACCATGCTAAATTCTACAGAAAAAGAATATCACAATTTCATCTTTTCATGGAAATTAGGATTAAAAGACACTTCTAATTTTTCCCACTTTTCTTTTTCCCTTATAAGACAATATGTTTTATCAAAATACCTCTACCAAGTCCAATGACTTTTGTGAAACCCAGTGTTTTTCAGTCCTCAAAAATCCTTAATTAATCTGAAGTAGGTCACATAAGAGGGAAGACATTTTTGATTTTAAAGTGATGGCCACATCATGGAGCCCTTCCAAATAGAAAACAATAAATCTAAAAAAAAAAGAAAAAGAATTTTTTTTTTATTCTAATTTTTAGATGCTTTGTTCACTATGTATTCCTAATGTGATACTCATGTCCATAAGCAATGGATGAGATAGTTATTTACAAGCTCTCCAGTCTGTAGGGAAATATCTTGGACTGAGAAATAAGTGGACTCAAGCAGAAGACAAAGACGGGATGTTTGGGGTAAGCTGTAGAGTAAGAACTCAGCAGAAGCGATGGTGACAGATTGTTTAATTGGGTAACTGTCTCCATCATCTTACTTGCAAAGGAAGCAAGCAAATAAAGCCTTGGGAATAATAGTCTATAAACAGCTTGCTTTAAAAAGTAATTGACAACTTCAACTGCTATGATACTTCAGTCTCAGGGGAAAGAGGCTGTAATATTTGCTGCAAAGTCTTGAAAGCCCTTTTTCCTTGTTGACTGCAAGAAACAATCAAAAAAGTATTTTCTCCTGGTATTGCACATAAATATATGTACGTGTAAAGCAGAACAAAATGCAGAACAAAATAAAGTAGTAGGTTTTAGAAACCAAGAGTAGATTTGTTAGTTTTTCACCATAAAAGCAAATTCTTAAAACAAGTGTATATTTACACCACTGCAAACAACCACTTTGATATGAAGTTGATTTAGCTATGAATGTGGTCAGAATTTTTGCCAACAAAAAGATTTTTTCTTTTGGTGTTGCAATTTCAGAATTGTGCAAAAGCTACAGGATAAAATATGATCATTGTCCACCCTTTATTTTAAAAACACAGGTCAATAGTTCAATTTCTCCTTGAAATAACACAAGGCTATGTGGAGTAATGGATCTGTATATTTGCAGTGGAGAGCTTATGTAAATGTGAAACTAATGTCATTTGCAAAACCCATGCAAAGCATCAACAAACACACTAAGCTTTCCTCTCCTCAGTCAGGGTTTATTTCACCCCTATTACTGGAGGCCTGGGCAGAGACTGCCAGATGTGTCAATGCTTCTCACTATGACAACAGTTTCTGATGTTCAACAAAGGGTTGAATATGAGGCTGGACTTCTTGCTGTCTCTCACTTCTTTAACTAGGATTTGGGCACATGTAAACAAAGAAGAAGCCTAAGAGAATAATGACCAAGTATTTCTTGGCTACGGAAGTAAGAGACTTGGTCTTAAAACTACTGAGCCTTTGCTTCCCATCACTATGACATAATTAAAGAAGTATAATAGCATTTAAAAACAACAACAAAAACTGTTGTCATAACTATACAACACAACAGTAGGACTGACTGAAAAATGCAAACTTCAGTTCAAAGATGCAGAATAAGATGCATCCAAGAGGCTACTCCTGCAGCCTACAATTTAGAAGAAAAAGAAATAATAAAATATAGGCCTATTGCAATGCTTGGTAGTGACTTCAACACATTATAAAGAAGAACTGACTTTATGAGGCTGAGCAGAATGGCTTTTTCAAAAATCTAATTTCTTCAAAAAAAAAAAAAAAAAACAACCAAAAAAAAAAAAACACCTAAAGCTACAAATCATTTTTTTTGTTATTCAGGCAATTACTGTTTTGAACATGAAGAGTTATAAAATTCTTCCACAGCTACGTAGGGAGACAATTAAAAGAAACCTAACTTTTTTTTATTATTATTTTCATATGTTAACAAGCCTTGAACCAATGTATGACACATACAAAATAGTCCTGGGGAAGCATCAATATTACTGTGAAAGTGACTCTGTGATTCTGTGAATGTAGTCTGGGTTACATTTGTCATATACTTGTTTGTATTACATTATTTATCACAAGAATATCATTTTAATGTCAACGCAGACCTGTTTAATCTGTGCCTAGCTTATCCATATGTCTGGCTAGCTGAGAGACTTAAGCAGTAACTAATCTAAACAACATATGTACTACTGATTTACTCATCTTAATTTTACGTTAATTCAAGTGAAAAATGACCTTAGCAACTGTGTTGGATGAGGCAGGTCTGATTAGAATTCTGTGAAAAATAGAAATAAACTGCCTTAATTTAAACACTGATCTAATTTGTTGGTTCTTATTGTTTTATACTTACAGATTCCATCCTGGGTAGAAGAAAAGGAGCATATGGACAATCAAAGCACAAAAAGCTGAAAAAGCCTGTTTATATATACATATATATATTCTCCTACTGGGAGAGGCAAAAAGCACAGATTAAATTACATAAGTGATATGTTTCCATAGCTCCATCATTTGTTTGAAATAATGCACAAGGCTTTGCTGCTGATGAAAAAAGAAACTCTAAGTCAATCACAGAAGTGTACTGAGCAAGGAAAAGCTCTTGATCAGAGGAATGGCACAGAATGAGACCATTTCCTGCTGTAGCAAATGCTGCTAAACGCTAATCTATTCCCATGGAGATGAAAATTGAGGATGCAGGGCAAAGTCAATCCTGCCTAGATTATGACCTATGGCTCTAAGGAGATTAGTCATTTTAAACAGGAAAAGCATCCAAACACTATTATTCAGTATCTTTTTTTTCTGTGTTTACATTTAAACCTCTTCCTCCTCTCCCCTTCTTCTCCCGCTCTCCACCCCCCCCAAAAAAAAAAAAATTTAAAAAAAAATGCTTATTATCCACTTTGCCCCTGAATTTTTCCCTCTTTCTTTAGTCCTGTTCTTTTTACATACTTCAGATTCCTGGTCCACAATCTCAACTAGGGTTGGTATAGATCAGGTTACTGAGGGTGGTATATCTGGTCTCTATGGGTAAACATTCTTCTCTTTCAAAATTTGAAGAGCCTCTTGCCAAGTAGGTGCAGTATTTGGAGTATGTACATAAAATTGTATTAAAACTGTTTACACCCACCGCTTGAGGTGGTTAACTATTTTTCCTATCACTCAGTTTTCTTATACCTACCCTACTTCTATCAATGTTACTGCTGAAGAACAAGATGGGAGAGAGAGGAGGAGAAACACTTGGTATTTGTCACATCTTTCAGGTTATACGGATCATACCATATATGCGTTTTTTGTGATTCATGAACAGGCATGTCCTCTCTACCTTTTCGCACATTCCTCTCCCTGCCCACCCAGTCTTTCTTGACAAAAACTTCTTCAAACTGAGCTAGGAGTAAATATAAGCCTTTATTGCTGCAACAGATCTACTTAGACTTGGTATGATGAACTTCAGCTGACCTAGATGCAGAAATATATGCCAGAGTGGAGGCCTTAAGTGCCTCCCAAAACCAATTACTTCTAAGGTCATTTATCAGCAGAGGTAGGACCAGAGAAGCCTCTTTACTCCTAGATGTTTCCCCTGATCTGGCTTGTTGCTGAGGCTGGAGACATGGGTTAGATGGACATATTGCCACCTTGTAAAATGTCATTCAGGGCAGCTGCTCTACTTTGGGTTTGTCAAGACCTGCACCTAAACCACAGTGACATTATTTGTTATTTTGAAGCCTTGTGGGAACTTTTGGGGGAGCTTGTGGATACTGCCCAAGTCATAGCACAGCACAACCCTCTCTCAGTGAGAACCTTGGTAGCCCCCAGTCCCTCCCCCGGAATTATTGTAGTCCTCTGAAGGTGTAAGCTGTTCCTAAGGAGCAGGGCAGAAAATAAATGCAAAGCTGTTCCAGGCCAAGCCATAACAGATTAAAATGAGTGTTTTCAAATGGAAATCCCTCATATTTTTAACCCTCCGTTCTTGAAAATACCATCTTCGGTTTGCCTTAAGATTTCTGGAAAAAAAGTAGTATCAGATTGTGAAATTCAGAAAGATTTTGCTGGTTAGCTAGAAGTGAAGGATGAGCCAAAATCAGGCATGAAATTGAAAACTGTTCTCACAGTGATAAGGAAATAAGCTTTCAGAGGCCTTGGATGAAATACATGACCTTGCAGCCTTTCCATCTCTAATTTCATTGATTAAAGTTATTATTAACAGTTTTCTTAATTATGCATAATATTTCTGATTTTCTGTAGTCCTTGCTTTGTCCCCATCAAGTTCTTGCAGATTAATTTCATCTCTCCTAAGTTTACTGCTAGACTTTAAAATAACCAATTAAAGAGATAATTAACTTTATAACATGATTATGTAGTGCCAGCAACACAGCATTTGAAAAAATGTACTTATCTAAGTAGTATTATTAGCAAATGCAGAGGTGATTTTTCTGATCTCAGTAACAGAAAAGGATTCAATGGATGTACAGCTCATATATACACTTTTCACAGTTACCAGTCAGGGGAAGCAACAGTTGAAGAACCGTGGCTATCAAGACCTGGGTCAGAGTGCTGCATAAATCCCTAAACCAGCACTAACCTGAGCAATTACATTCATGTCCCATGGCTCAATGACACCAGTGTCTCCATAGAGCCCCAGCAGACATCCAGTCATACCAAACCGGGTACTGCATGGAAGGCCTTTTCTCAGCTGGGAATTGCAGCAGCATTGAATGAATTGTCACAAGGTTTTCTGTATTTGCACCTCAGCAGTAGGGGCAGTTAGCATCCCTCTGCAGCATTGGTGCCAACCAGGTGCCTGCCTGTCTTCAGATGTTGCCACAGGAAATCCAGCCCCACAAACAAGAGCAGGAGGAGCCACGTATATTTGAAGCTGTTATTGTTCCTATAGACTCCACGTATGAAGCCAATGATGTGCTGCCTCATGCAACATGCAGGGACCTTACCAGGACTTGGTTTCTGTGGTGCAATCTCTTCAAAAGTTACAAGGACAGGTAAAACAGAAGATAGGAAGGAAGGGCAAGTAAACTCTGGAAACTGGAGACAAGCACAAAGACGCAGTCTTTCCTAGAGAACAGATAAAATAAGTAGCATTATTTTTAATAAATACAAAAATACATAGAATCACAGAATCACAGAATTTCTAGGTTGGAAGAGACCTCAAGATCATCGAGTCCAACCTCTGACCTAACACTAACAGTCCCCACTAAACCATATCCCTAAGCTCTACATCTAAATGTCTTTTAAAGACTTCCAGGGATGGTGACTCCACCACCTCCCTGGGCAGCCTGTTCCAATGTCTAACAACCCTTTCAGTAAAGAAGTTCTTCCTAATACATACATACATACATAATACGTACATACATACGTACAGTTTAAAAGTAAACAAATAGTGTGGGGATGTTTATACCCAACTTATAAATATATACGGGCTTAATGAACTTTGGCATTGATGTCATCCTTTGTTAGCTATTGTGTTAGTCTAGATAAAATGATGGGGAGTCTTCTGATTCACCTCCTCAGTTAAACTTAATTTCAGACATATTTTAGAACTGATTGTACTTTAGTCCTCAAAATTCCCATGGTTAGTATATAATATGGATTCCATGCTCCATGCTTTGTTTATGTAATAAAGTTGACATGCTGTATAGGGATATCTCTCTAAGGTGGATGCTAGCACTGACCCACATTGTTTTTAAAATTAGACAGGTATAAATTAAATTATTGAGTGGTCATGTCCTTTTCAGAGACCATTGAATACTCTCTCTTTTCTATGAGACAAAGTCCATTAACAGACCCCCACTCAGAGTTTAGAAAAATGTTAGCCAGTACTTGAATTCAATACATGTATCCTGGTACTAAGATTATTCTGCTACTTACTTTTCCTCATTCCACCCACAGATTTAACTCTACTTTCGGGTGGAAGTTCACTTTAGTAATTCTTACTTTTTTAAGCACAGTGATAAGGCAGTGTAAACATATAAGGATTTTCCACATACAAATCAATAACAACAGTAAAATCCCTACGGAATCTCAGGGTCACTGCCACTTCGCTGTCTTCAAGTATAAAACTCTGCTTGGGTTAAGGATTTTTGGAAAATATAAACTTAGGAATACATCTGAAATTTTGACTGTTCCATAAAATGTAAAATATTTACCATTCATGCAAAAATACGGTCAGCATTTGTATTTGCATGATTTTTATAGCCAGGCCCTTCCATAGCAAACCCTTCTTTCTCCACCTTTTTTCCTTTCCCAAACAAATAAATCTTTATATGTGCAATTTGTAGTCTCCCAGACGTCAGAGATATTTGTTCTTTTACATAGATGAAACTCAATTCATTAGTTGCTTTCTAAGTTAGGACAAGAGCTATAAACTGGCATCAACAGCTGACCAGAGTAACTGAAACACTTCTGTAAAGACCTGTTATGTTCACAGTGGGCCAAACAATTGGATACATGGCAGCACTCTTCTGCCTAATTTGTGTACACTCACCTTTGGTGATTCCCTTGGAGAGGGTTATATACAAGGGTGGATACAATGATCCTTTAAATGGAAATTCACTAAACTTCTATTCACTCATACTCCCACTATCTAGAAAACATTATCTGTTCATCCCAATTTCACTAGCTGATAAACACAGTTTCTTCATCTTCCCAACACTTTGTCACACAGGTAATAGGTATATGCCTTCAGTGGTGAGACTGAGAAGATACTCTACCAACTTTTTACCTCAGTTCACTGACCAACATCTCTTCAGTTTTGCCCAGCTATCTTTCATGCAAAAATTGAATAATCATGTTCATCATGCCATTTTCCTTCTGTGAAACACTGATTCCAGGAAAATGCCTTCTCCATTCTCTTGGCAGCTAAGCCTATAGCACGTCATCATCTCTTCTACTTGTGGACCCCTAGACTTTATTTTATTGTACTACCTCTTGGTTTTTCATCTGAATTTTTTGGTCCACAGTTTGAACAATATTACTGGAGATACCATGGAATATTCTGACACTGCAAGGCAAAGCATGACTTTCCATGGTATTACTTCTTTCTGAATACTGTTATTATACTTGCAGTGGAAATTTATTACTTGTCCATGGGTCACCTTAAGATAAAATGTTAGTCTGTAAATAAGTGGCATGAAACTAAATAGAAAGATTTGGAGGTATTTCTGGGTAAATATTTTGCTTTCAGAATGTGTCAGATTGCCCCACTGTCAGTAATTTCAAAATAACTTTATAAGAAAGGATCTCCTAGCCTCTCTTGCTCTTCAGACACTGACTGAAATAGTAAAACTAGGCGCTATACTGTTCCATCAACACATTGTGTTTAACTTTCAGATGCGAAGCATAAGTCTTCTCCTCAGAAATTTATATTTTTAAAGTCTATTTATAGAGTGGCATCACCCTGTAGAGCAAATGTGAAAATAAGAAAGATTTTGCTTAATGAAGAAGTGAGTGAAGGTTCCTCTTCCTCCTCTTTTTGCAAACATAGGCCTGCAGGGACACAGAACACACTCAGGGCCTTGAAATACAGAAATGTCTCCCTTTGATGATGTCTAAAGGTCCTAAGAGAGATCTGGGGAAATCCCTTATAACTTAGTTTGTCGGTATTTTCATCTTGGTCTACAGATTTTTGTACTTTTTTTGTTATGGTTGTTGTTGTTTTTCTAATTTTATTTTCTCTGTCACTAGTAATGAAGAGAAATGTAGATGATAATAAGCAGAATGGATACTGACACTATAATAAAGACAAAGCTAGAAATGCTGCAAGAATGGCAGCTGTGGCAGGGTTTTTAAATGCAATTGCCATGCTGTAATTGCCTATTTTTTTTAAATCTGGTCTTAAAAAGTACTAAAAACATCCATTCATTGCATTCGAAAGCAGAAGCTGCATGTGAGAAAATAAACAAAAATGGAACAGCAGCTTACCACTCTTGAGTTATCCCCTTTTAGAAATAAATAGGTGTATTCTCAGGTTCAGCTAAGAGGAAGACAATGGGCAAGGGAAAACCATTTTTTTTCATCGTGCTTCTTGGCTTCAAAGCCTAAGTTTCTTGTCAGAGAAGAATAAAGATAGAGACTACCTAAGGAGAAAAATGGCAGGCTCCCAGCATACTCAATGTGCTTCTAAAACAAGAAGCACATCCTCCCTACAAGCCACTCTGCACTGGTACATTGCATCTCTCATAAATAGGCTAGGAGATGTAAATAATGCAGAAGCATAACATGCTAAAGGGAAAGCATACCGTTTGCCTCATCCTGGCCCACCGAGTCCCAGGTGAGGTAAGTCCATGACAAAGGATATTTTTCTCCACAGAGAAAAAAAGCCCAATAACATTATTATTACTAGCCTACTTTATTGGAAGTCCATGAAATTCATCATAAGTTACATTTAATTGTTTACTTCTACCTGTATTTAAAACATTTTATGATTATTTGCCACATTAATCAGCATAGCTGATTATACTTCAGTTTTAAACAGTAATGTATTTTTGAAAGAGTCTGCTATGAAGTCATAAGTATGGTATAAGAGCCTGGCTTAACACTGCTCACCTCAGTGACCCTGCAAATCAAAACCAATATCTCAGTCTCATCTCAATCACTTACTCTCTGAGTGGCCTTGGGCAACTGATTATCTCCTCTGTATTCTCCTTAAGACATCCATCCTTGGCGGGAAGAGCAAACAACCAAACTTCAAAGTAAACAGCTAAACTCTATAAAACAAGAAAAAACAAAACAAAACAAACAAACAAAACAAAAAACAAAACAAACAAAAAAAAAAAAAACAAAAAAAAAAAACAAGCTAAGCATTAAATGCTACCATGCTCTACTGAGGTTTTCCTAAATCTCATTCTTTAACTGTTCTGATATACACTAGACATTACTTATCTTCACTATCTACTGCACGGTTTCTTAGTATTATTACATCTTTATTACAATTTACTACTAGAACCTGTAGAATCACAGAATCACAGAATTGTAGGGGTTGGAAGGGAGCTCGAGAGATCATTGGGTCCAACCCCACTGCCAAAGCAGGCACCGTAGAGCAGGCTGCCCAGGTAGGCGTTCAGACATGCCTTGAATATCTCCAGAGAAGGAGACTCCACAACCTCCCTGGGAAGGATGTTCTAGTGCTCTGTCACCCTAACCATGAAGAAGTTCTTTTGCATGTTGGTGTGGATCTTCCTGTGCTCCATTTTGTGGCCATTATCCCTTGCCCTGTCCCCACAAACCACTGAAAAGAGGTTGGCCAAATCCCTCTGTCTCCCACACTTCAGGTATTTATAAACATTGATGAGATCCCATCTCAGTCTTCTTTTCTCAATGCTGAACAGACCTAGGTCTCTCTGCCTTTCCTCATAGGAGAGATGCTCCAGGCCCCATATCATCTTTGTGGCCTTCCGCTGGACTCCTTCCAGGAGATCCCCATCTTTTTTGTACCGGGGAGCCCAGAACTGGACACAGTACTCCAGGTGAGGCCTGACCAGGGCAGAGTAGAGGGGGAGGATCACCTCTCTTGACCTGCTGGCCACGCTCCTTTTAATGCATGCCAGGATCCCATTGGCCCTCTTGGCCACCAGGGCACACTGCTGGCTCATGGCCAAACTGTCATTCACCAGGACCCCAAGGTCCTTCTCCTCAGAGCTCCCCTCTAGCAGGTCACCCCCCAGCCTGTACTGATGCCTGTGTTTGTTCCTTCCCTGGTGTAGGACCCTACACTTGCTCTTATAAAATGTTAGAAATATAGAAACATAGAAATGTTACCGAGAACAAACCTAATCACTCAGTAGTAACAGAAAAAGACAGCTTAATTTTAAAAGTTTTATTTATACTATGTTCTCCTGGGTGGTATTTACTGAGACTTGAACCCATATATGCATTTAAGCTTAACACTAATTTCTACACAACAACTGCACTCTAGAAGATGGAAGACAGGACACAGTCGTCAGCATGTTTGCTAAGGGGCAAAAATTTCCAGGGACTTCAAATGGAAAAAGTCCAATTAATGACATCTGTGAGAGACAGCTAGAAAAATAGCTCCCTGCCTCCCTCATTTTAGTAGCACTGGAGCAGCTCAGATTGAGCTGCCCTTGAAGAAACCCATGTAAGCATGTGCAATATGAATAAGATTATCAGGAGAAAAACAGAAACTGAATGCACTCAGCAATAAAGGACATTCAAAGACCACTCACAAAATGGTTACTTCAGAGTGGCACGTGCTTCTCTCTGTTGAATTTAATTGGGCCACCTTACAAAAAGACACACTGGGAAGTCTGCCAAGTGAGACTTGAGGAAGACTAAGTTATTATTACGAAAAAAGTAAGAAAAGGACTATTACATAGGGATTCAAATTTTACTTATAGTTTGTTTACAACTCATGTGTTGCAAGCAGATATTGCAAATTACCCTATGGAGGGAATAATCAAAGTCAGTAGAATTTTTTCTCACCTTTTCAGACTAAAAACTTTACATACTAGGCACACATCCATTTGTACATTGGTGACCATTTATAATGTCAGATAACTGAGCACTTTCCTTTATTTTATCAGCTATTTTCCTCCTGTTGTTCCTCAGACACAGGTAACCCAATGTGAGTTTTTCTTTCAGGGATGTGTCACTCGTGAACTGGTCAAATCTGTTACGGAAAAGACAATTCTCCAGAAAGGAGCAGGAGCACCAAGACAAAAAAATCTTTCAAAATTTGTCAGTCTCTTGTCATGAGCACATAAAAGCGTAATTTAAACATGTGTTAAACCAAAATTTAAATAAGTAAAAAACAAAACAAACAAAAAAACCCTGTTAGGAGTCACATCAATAGTAGGCATTGAAGAAACAGCTGTTTACAATGAGACGTAAGCTTAAAAATGTTTCTAAATTAAAGAGATGCCTGGGATTGGGCTCAAGAATGAGTGAAATGACTGTCTTTTCCAAGCCAGGGAGAAAATCAAGAGAAGGCAGCTGCCAAACATGGACTGCACTAGAAGCAAGGCTATTTACATCTGGATAATAAACACCTTGGAGTTCACTGAAGGAGCATTTATCTACTGTTGGCTGCAGTCTATTGTCCTTCATCAATTTTTATGCATCTATTTTTGGGTCTGTTTGAAGAAATTTCTAATTTCCTGTAATTTGGAAAAAACAAACAAACAAACAAAAAAAATAAAACAAAAAAAAACAACTAACAACAAAACACAACTTGCAAAAGATTATAAGCCTGATGAGAAGGACATGATGCATTGCTTTCCTTTTTGTTTCTCCCTGTCACTGTGATCTCAGGTCACATACATAACCATCTGAGAAGATAATTCACAGGCTTCCCTTTATCCAAGCCTTCCAACCATTGGATTGTTGGCCTTATTCCCCCCAACATCCAGGGTAACTGCTGTCATTTTTATATCAGTATCATCTTGCAAATGCCTCCGTACTTTTGTCAGACTGTTTTCCCTGTTTTTATAACCTTCTTCCCATTTCACTAACAATTTCATAGCTGCTGACCTGACTTCCTCTTCAGTCCAGCCAAGATGCTGCCTTGACCCTGCTTGGCTTCTTTTTCCAGCCTGCCTAGGTGGCTCACACAATTCCACAATCTTTCCATAGGAAATCAGCACTGTGGCTTAACTCCTGTTGCATCACATGCAAATCTCTTGCTTTTAAATCTCCACAGAATATATGTTTCCTCCTGCCCTTCCTGTATCCAGGCCCTTAACTTTCTCATTCTTTTCATACTCCCTTCAGACCTTTCTCCCACAAATCTCTCTCTTGCAGAACATGTGCCTGAAATGTGACCCCAGTTCTGGGACAAAATTGGTTTCTGATCTCCATCTCTCATAAAGGAATCAAGTCCTTTCAGCTTTCTGCTTATGCCATCACCTCCATTTCTGTGCTATTTCACATTAATCTCATGAGATATTTAATGGATAAATCTATTAAACACAAGAAAGTATGCAAAATAAAAACTCGATCACTTTGTGGACAAATCAGACTAGTACTTGGGTAAAATTGCTCCAGACTTCCTCTAGAAAGTCCACCAGGCATTGTTCCACATACATGATAATCTCATCAGTGCAACAGTTGGTTATTTATATGATTATTATATACAAAAACATCCTCAGCCTCTGTATAAGAAAAAAAATCACCAGCATTACAAAATATAAATCATTGATATTAGAGGAAAGAAAAGATGCAGCCTAAGCAATTGTCTGAGATTCAGGGGTTTTCCAGTCAATTCAGGTTTAATGTAGATGTAAAACCCTCTGCGTGCCTTGATAAGCTCTTTCATGTTTCCACAGATCTCTGTAAAAGGAAACCATTCTGTTTCCCTGGGACCTCTGTTTCACCATCTCTCCCACTTGCACTGTAAACTCCTAAAGGCAGAGTTTCCCCACACACGAATAACGTCTGCAGCAAGGGAAAGCCAATCTCATCTGGGCTCCTGGGTTTCAACATGTTATAAATGCTTCATTAAGGGTTTATTATCAATGCAGCAGTTATTGGTTATGTTGGAAAATTCCTTTATTTCTCTTTTTTCTCTTTCTCCCTCTCAAAGACATGGGCACACACGTACCGTTCACACAGGCTTTCTTTGGCTGCCATCACCACCACACACTGACCTTTGAAATATGGAAATAAAAGTGCTCAGAAATAAAGCTGGCAGCAACAGCAGCCCGACTGTCGTCATTTAGAATCTGAAACAAGTGGGGCCATAGTTTGCAAGCTGTCTTCATAATTACTTGAAGCAGTTGTCACTCTGGCTCTAGTTTGTTCATTAGACCCCAAACAAACAGCTGATATTTGTTAAAGCACATAAGCCACTTTGTTGAAGCAGGGCTCTTTATTGTGAGGAACCCTGCAGCTGCGAGTCACATGCAGTTCATAGTATTTCCTGATTTCCTTTGCTTTATTTGCCTGCCTACATTCCCGTTACAGTAATGTCTTTTTACCAGAGAGAGAGAGAGAGACTGAGAGAGAGTTAAAAAAAATAATACAATAAGGTAAATATTAGCTAACATAAAGCTTGATAGGCTTAAAGTTTATGACCCAAATCTGGTTCCCATTAAAAAAAATACTTTTGCTGCGGTAAAGAATGCTTAGCAACAAGAAAGTCATGGCTGGAATTTGAGGTTGCTGCACTCCAGCGAAACAACTGCTGCTTACAGTTCAATGCTTTCTCCCTGAAGCAGTCTGAAGGGGAAGTGAATGGAAAGCATCGATCTGAGCCAAGTCAGAAGGCTTCTAGGAAGGTCTTTTCTTTGCACTCTTATGTCTTCAAAATTGAGGTACTGGAGAGTGTTCTGCCGTATTCTACAATAAATAAATAAATAAATAAATAAAAATGCTGGCTGATGGTCACGATCACCTCTGATGAACCACTGGGTGGTTGTACAGGTCCCTTTGTGTCTGCAGTGGACACGTCTCTATGACTGCTGGTGGAGATGAAGGACAAAATGGGAAATGTGTATGGAAAGCAGAGTTGGTTTCATCTGAGCTGTACAAGGAAAAGAACATCTTGTCGGATGACACTTTTTTTCTATCCTGCTCTGACAGCATGATTTTGAAAGAATAAAGACAATGAATGATCTCCACAGGCCAAAGAAGTTGACACAGTCTTGTACAAGACTAAACTATTAAATAAGCTGTAGATGTGTCATCAGAGATCTCAGCCTCATATTCACAGCAACAATCCCTGAAAAGAATAATGTAATATCTTTTGAAAAT